GAAAATGAGGACGAACATATTGAATTTATTCTGTTTGGGTTTGTAATAAAATGATTCTAGACAGAGCTATTCAACATACGATTTTATAGCAAACAAAATGAGTTCTCTGGGGAAACTCACCTCAGATCAATCAGGCAGATTTTTGTATCTGTACAAAGATCAGTAATAAGCTGACTTTGTATATTTGTTGTTTTAAGGTACATGTATAAGTTATTATGTTTTTAATTAAACTCTACTTTAACACGAGAAAAAAGGCTACCTGAAGATAGCGTTTCTTTGTTTACATTGAAAATTACATGTACATCAGATATAAAATTCCTAACAATACAGGGCTCACGCTACCAGGCGACTAGGGCGAAGATGTCGCTTTCCCGTCCGTCACTTCGCTTTGCCCGACCCTCAAAAGCGAAAACTAGTCGCCCTGTGGTTTACGATACTCGCTTTCAGTCGCTTTCGTCATCGGCAATGTTCAATTTTTACCAAGTCGATGAAACAGCAATTTTTCAGTAAAAAGTAAAGAAATTCAAAGACATAAACGATTTATTTTCTTCAGAAAAGAGGTTAAAGCATTGATTTTAAAGTTGGTTGCAAGTTATTTCATAAAAACAATTTTTTATCACTTCCGGTACTTGTTAGAGAGCGTACATCAAATCATTCTAATTTTCGGCAAAATAAGTTCGTTACTTCATTAGAACGTGATGAAATTTGCCTGAAATAAATTTGTTATCCATCTATTGCATTAAAAACGTCATATTCCTTTCCAAATTGCGTGTCAAACATCGTTTATTTTTGTAAATTTTTCTTCTTCGTCCGCCATTGAAATATTTGTACTAAACTACTGATCCGAACCGGACCAGCTATGACCGAAATCCGGATTCATACGATAATGACTACTGAAGAATGAATGGCACAGCTGACAGAGGAATATTGATCCCAAAAGGAAAAATTACGCATTCCACGCGCATTAACACTCTTTTGGTTAGATCTACTTGATTAATGTATATATTTCCATGTATATGAATTGTTTCAATTTATCAATTAAAATTGCTCAACTCTGGGACTACTATACTATGTCCAAGCTTAACTGTGTTAAATTTATATATCTTTTAAATGAGAATTTTAACCACTGAATTTCACAAACATAACAGAGTATATTTTAAATTGAAATAACAACTTTCTTTTCCTTTTTGATATAAAAAAAATCTTTTTTATTATTGCTAGATATTAAACCGGTTTTTTTTTCTGACAAGAGGACTAATATGATTGTGCAACTAGATATGATAAAATTAAACAACTTTGAATTTGAACTGTTACTTTTATTGTACTCCCAGGTACAAATTGAGCAATAATAAAAAAATAAGATACATATGGGCCTTTGTATTATAGTAAAACCAGACATTGTAGCGCCGCGAGCGAACGAGCACTTCTCTCTTAAATCTCACCACTTCTCCCTCTCAGTTTCAAAAAGAGAAGTCACTTCTCCCTATGATTCTGAAGTAGTGTGAGCCCTGCAATACAACCCAGGGGTCACCACACTTCAGAATTATAGGGAGAAGTGACTTCTTCCTGGCAGTCAAACAGGGAGAAGTGATCATGAAGACCCAACAGGGAGACTTCTGGGAGAAGTGAAGCCCCAACAGGGAGACTTCAAGGAAAATTTAAGGATCGCGTTAATACTTTTTAAGAATCAAATTTTCCAAGCATCTTTATCTTTTTGTTATTTTTCAAACCATTTTTGCATGACAACTGCTAAGGTGGTATTTCCTTGCCTTGCCATGCTTGTGGTCTGAATTACATTTTTACCTACAGACGCAAATTGTCAAAAAATATCACAAGGACCATAAGAGCTACGGTTGTGCAGCTAGATCTGAATGAATTAAAGATTTGACATTGGTCAAATTTTGCTGCATCTCAAAGATTTTTCAAACATAAGCATGTTTTGAATTGCTTACAATTGTGTTTAATAAAATTAAATAAAGCAAGAACCCTTTAAAAAAATTATAATCAATTGATAAGCAAGTTAAAATATCTAGAAATGGTTTCACTGTCTTTCATTGCTAATATCATAATTGAAAAATATATTTGTTCCTTAAATTATTTTTAATAGGAATTCAGAAAGAACAAGCATTCTGAGAGTATTGCATGGCAATACATAGTCCCCTACCGGTTAAAAATTAATTGTACTGGAACAAAATGCTAACTTGATCTATAACTTGTCATGATAAAACTATATACCAATTATCAAGTCAATATCTTCAAGCATGACGAAAAAAAGTGTGGAAAACTGATTATTTGAGTGAATTTTCTAAGTCCAAGGACCATAACTCTGCACAAAATCATCAGACCGGAACAAAATTCAAACTTGAATTGTAACTTGTCATGATAAAACAATGTACCAATTATTAAATCAATATCTTCAAGAATGACAAAAAAAAGTGCGAAAAACTGAATATTTGAGTGAATTTTCCAAGTCCAAGGACCATAACTCTGCACAAAATTATCAGACCGGAAAAAAATCCGAACTTGATCTGTAACTTGTCATGATAAAACAATATACCAAATATCAAATCAATATCTTCAAGCATGAAGAAAAAAGTGTGGAAAACTGATTTGCCGGACTGACAGACAGACGGAGTGCAAACCTAAAGTCCACTTCGACTTCGTCGGTAGGGGACTAATAAACAGCTACGCCATGAGCGCATGATACCCCCGTCGCTTTTTCAAAGAATAAAGTTCAATAACTTCTCAATGTCATATCAGAAATTTATGAAAATCTAAAGGGAGGTTATCTTAATAGATATAAACCTGTCACCAAAGTTTCATGAAAACTGCTCAAAGCACTTTAAAGATATTGTCCCAAAACTGGAAAATCACCCTTTTTTTATGAATAAAATCACATAACTAAGAAAAGTAAAATCTAAAATTTATACAAATCGAAAGGGAGCTTACGTCAATAGATAAAAACAATATAAAAGATTCTAGAACACTTCACGAGTGTTAAAATATGACAAAATCACAAACAGTAACATCGAAAAAGTTGTATTTTTCAATACTGGAAATTGAATAAGTACTTGTAAATCGAAAACAAATGCTGTGCGAGATGCGGCAGAAAATTCAAACGTATACGACTTTGGAAGAAAAATAGTGCCGTCCTTTAGGGAATTAATGTTATAGTATTCATCAAAATATTGTTTAAAGGACCTTTAGCTAAAACAAAGCACATGCAGCAGTCTGTAACACCAAATCCTGAACGAAAAACCGACTACATTTTGTAGTTTATACATCGTTGTGCTGGTTCCCGGCTGACTACTAAACTTTGTACGTAGTTAAAGTACAAGCGGATTCCAGTTTACATTATGCAACATTTGAAAAGAAATGAGAAATTTTTAATGCAGCATCAAATTTTGATATCTATCAGTAAATATAAGATAATCAAAATTAAAATTGCATATTAATATGGATTAGGTAAATGATAAGAGTTTTGAAAATATAAAAGGGCGCCCTCTACAATTTCAATAACAAAGATGGCAGACAATAAACAAACATCACAAAATCAGTTTTTTCTTGTTTCTTGCTTATAGTACATCCTGTCAAGCAATTTTAATGTTGGAGTATAATACCGCGGACAAATCAGTTCTAAATTTGGGAAAAACATATTTTGTATTTCGTCATTTATAAGGTTGTTTATGTTTGGCTCGAGAATTTTTCAAAAATCAGGAGGCGACATTGGGGAATTTTACTGAAAATCTAGAACGACATAAACTTCTCCCTGGGGCTTCTCTACAACAAAATGGGGAGTCCTAGGGGGACTATGTCGCTCACTTAGCTTGGTGTGGTGACCCCTGCAACCAACAATAAAAAATGTTTCCATTATTCAATTACATTTTCAGAAATAATTATGCTGGGAAATTTTTTTTATAAGAAATGTTTATATATATAAATCTGCTGTTTATACTGGCTTTCGTAAATTTTCTTTAGGTTTGCTGACTTGGTCCCCAGATATGCAATTCAAAGAGCTGATTATTATTTCAAAAGCAAATTTAATTTAAACATTTTTGATTTTGATTGATATATTGATTGATTGGTGTTTAACACCACTTTCAACACTATTGTGCTATTTCGTGATGGTCAGTTTTTATTGGTGGAGGAAGCCGGAGTGCCTGGAGAGAACCACCGACCTTTGGAAGGAAAACTGAAAATCCAAGTCAATTAAGATTCGAACTCACAACCTCAGTGTTGACGGCTAGTGAAACAGTAGTTGGATTACTTAGGCCAAAAAAAATATATATGTCTGTTTAAGGTTACATATTTTAAAAAAATTGGGTAGGTAGGTCGGTATTTCCATTTTATTTTATTTTTTTCATTGTATTTTTTGTGACATGATTTTGAGTCAGGATTGATTTTGTTAGATTGTATGATGTATTATCAAAGGACAAGGGGCGATAACAGGTGATTTGATTTGATTTTTGATTTTTTGGTGTTTTAACGCCACTTTTAAGCACTGCTTTTGGGCTATTTTGTGGCGGCCAATTTTTATTGGTAGAGGAAGACGGAGTGCCCGGAGAAAACCACCGACCTATGATAGGAAAACTGACAATCCTAGTCAATTAAGATTGGAGTCAATTAAGATTGGAGTCGAGTGCACCTGCACGAGCGGGGTTCGAACTCACAACCTCACTATCCTCAATGTTGACTGGCTAGTGAATACAGTAATAACTACTTAGACCACTCGGCCACCGAGGCCACTCGATAACAGGTGACACCGGCCTCATATTAGACAATAATAACACGGAAACCAGTTAAGATATATTATGTTACACTATAAAAGTCTATATCAAAGTACTGAACCTGCTGATGTAGAAGTTATCATGTTCATTTTGAAACTTGTTCTGGTTAATTTATATGTTACATTTTATCAACTTCAAACGTTAACTAAACTATGGGCTTTAAAAGGTTCGTGAAGAAAAGTCAACATAAATTGTTAAGAATGCAAAACTTACATTTTTCGCAAAAAATCCAAAATATTTAGCTGATTATGCCGACGATTTTTTCCACTTCCTGTTTACTCTTCTGCGCATGCGATGACGTAAATCTTTACATTGAAGTGTGTATTTACAAATCAAGTTTGGTCACTAATCGTTTCATAATTATGTCGTTTAATGGATTGATTGATTGATTGATTGAATGATTGATTGATTGAAAAGTTTTATTCATAACGCTAAGACTAATACTTTTATCCTCTGTATAATAAAATAAAACAATCTTTTTTTCAACATGTTCAATGACATAAAAAAACAAAACACGAAATATTTTTGAAAACCAAATGTACTTTTTTTTTAGTTTTCAATGGTTTTCATTCACTTTAAAAACAATTCCCAAAGCGCATGTAACTAGAATATGAAGAAACACAACCTAACATATATAACAGATAAGATCTGGGCACAGTATATCTAACAATATATATGTTCCTGTTGGGATTTGCAATAACAATATGAGATAAGTTTGAACATCTAAGTTGAAGAATTGCGGAAGATCAACCTTATTCTATATTAACAGCTTGTTATCATAGTCAATTATAACGAGTTTTAGTTACAGCTGATTTACGTGAATACGATCTCTTTAGAAAAATATTATTTCAATGCTACTTTTTCACGCGTAGTATTTTTTTCCGGAAATTTATGGCTACGCCAAATTTGGTTTTTATATTAAAATCGATGCATAGCCACGAAAATATTTTATTTTTTAATAAAATTTTTATTTAAAGCATTTGCCCAATAGAACTGTCGATAGATACATATTTGTAACAAAATTTTTGTATCTTTATTTTTTTGAACTCCTTTATAGAGAGTTTTATTAAATTATTTTACAGTGCTCATCACAGTTGTTTGCATATGGAGGCTGTCTACAAATATTTTTCGATTCATCAGTAAAAACACTCAAATTCGGCTATGGGGAAAGAGCTTGGACCTCTACAAAAGTTTCAGAAAGAAGCTGATACATATAAGAAAAAGGTATTGGAACTTCTGAAGTGAAATGTTGATGAATTAATTAAAGAATTAAAAAATGACTAGAAAAAACATGTTAAAACATGACCAAGTCTTCTAAAACAAAACCGTTTGCATAAAGCAAAAATGAATGCATATAAATTTGACAGGTGTTTTTAAATCAAGATTTATGGAAATAATAATTGTATGCAAGTGTTACAATTACATGTGAAAGGGGAAGAAGTCAGCAAAACCTTTAGAATACTTTACCATACATGCATATTCCGTTATTGCGTTAACAGCAGATATATATATATATATAATATGAGGCAGGCGTTACCTGTGAAAGGGGACGAAGAATTATTTTTTTTAATTCAAACATATTTTATCTTCAAAATCTGTTAAAAAGGAAACGGAAATACCGTAACGTTTCCGATTTTGGCTCTGTTGTTAGGGATTTTAGTTGTGACGTTTTTTACTTATGACGTCATATTCGATGTAAACAAAGAAACGCTATCATCAGGTAACGTTTTTTCATATCAAAGAATAATTAGAATTGAAATTGTTATTGTGTTCCTTCCTATATTTGACTGGACTGATAAATATATATTTCACTCAAAGTCTCATGACACACGAGACCGGAAGAAGGAAGTAGATTTCTGCGCAAATGCGGGAATTAAAAAAAGTTACAAAAAAAAGTTAATGATTTTGAGTTCATTAGTACAATGAAAATTTCGGTAAATTTTCCCGATTTTTTTTTATTTTTTTTTTTTTTATTGATTTTTCTACTGTAATAGGGGACTTCGTCCCCTTATTAACATTTATTGTAAAAAAATTCCCAGCATAATTTCTAGTGAAAAAGTAACTGAATTAGGGAAACATATCTGATGTTGGTCCTATTGTTAGGAATTTTTTAGATGACATCATTTTCAATGTGAACAAAGAAACACTATCTTCAGGTAGCGTTTTTTTTTTTCTCGTTTTAAAGTATAGTTTAATCAAAAACATTATAATTAATACCTAAAAACAATGAATATATAAAGACAGCTTATTACTGATCTTTGTACAGATACACATATCTGCCTGATTGATCTGATGTGAGTTTTCCCAGAGAACTCATTTTGTTTGCTATAAAATCTTAAGTTGAATAAGCTCTAGACTAATTATATTACGTACACTAACAAAATAAATTCAAAATTTTTGTCTTCATTATTCTTTTTGGTAATCAGTAATACAAATTTGCAGAAAATCTTATCACTTACAACATGGCAGTACTGAGCATCCGTCCACAGAACAGGAACAGAATAATGTGCAAGTTCAACTGTTAGAAAAAACATGTTAATGATTTTGAGTTCATGCCCATACAACAGAAGGATAATATATTTTTTTCACTCATCATGTTCACCCTTTATTTTTAGATTTTAATTTTTGACCAATAATATTTTGCTGAATGTTGTCTCAGAATGACCTTAGATCCGTCTCTGAATAACCTTTTGACCTGAAGCAATAATCATTTAATCGTAACATCAAATTTTTTAAATTGTGATTTCAAATTTTACGGGAACTTGTTCATGTTGTTTGTTTTAAGTAATGGCAGACAAATTTACATACAAGTGTAAATACGTTGATTTGAAGCCAAGAGTTCAATGGCATAGAAAAATTCTGTCACATTCATTAATGCGCTTACTTTTTTACTTTTCCAAATGTTAGCATGTTTAGTGATGAAATTGATCAGAAATACTTTTATACATGTACTTTCTTCATTTCAAAAATCATTTGTAAATGGCAAATTGAAAATGATGAGTGCTAGCAAAATCACTGTACACTGTACTGATCAGTGATTATCAACCTATTTTTACCTGTTCAGTGTCCTTCAGTATATTACGATGCACACACAGTATTGACAAGGAAGTTTTATTTCGTTATGGCGGATCATAACAAAACAAACAAAATAAAATAAAATCGATCTTCAGAAGGGCAGGGCGCCATGAAAAAGGCAAAGGGTGCCCTGGAAACTGTATAAAGGGCACAGGGCACCACTCTAAAAAGGACTACAGGGGTTAAAAAATCCACTAGCCTGTCGCCTGGGACTAGAGCATTTACGCCTCTGGCAATCAAAACTTGTTACCTTATATGCCTGACGGACTAGTAAAAAAAAATTTATGGCATTTCTAAAATAGAAAGTGGAAAATCCCTTCATCACTATTCTATCTTAGGTAATTAGATTCATTTACGTCATCCGGGATTCCAAGAATTTGAACTGATTTTGTACATGTTTTAAAAATAGAACAACTAAATCTGGGTGGACTGGTATCATTTATTGATCACAATTCCCTTACTTTCAATATCGATTTCTCAGTACAGGGGAGTATTGTACATTGCTTATGCCTAGATTTTTTAATTAACGGTACTGGGGGGGGGGTTTGATCCATTGATCGATATTGACCTGTCTTGTCGGACAGCTGTTGAGCACAAAACCATGTCACAAAATATTTCCAGGAACTTCGTCAGTTTCAAAACGAAAAACGGTCGATGAATGGGTAATGAGGCTGAAAATTCATCCCAAAAAATGCCAAATACGACCGGGAAAAGGGGAAAAGAACATTTATTGTGACATGGACAGAAAGATTCCCCTGGGCAAGGTCGGTTGTTGCTGATGATAAACCAAAGACGTTGTTTTGTGAATATTGCCGTTATTTTCCCGATTATGCTAATAAAAAGTCTGCTTTGTATGTGGGAACAACAAATATACGAATTGAACCACTGGTTTCACATGACAAGACCAATGAACATGTTTTCTGTGCCTAAAAATATTTTTAACAACCCATAGTACAACGGAAATCCAAAAAGATTGTCTAAAGATCCTTGTTATAATTAATAAAACAAAAATTTATTTGATTTATTTTATGAAATACAGTGTATATTGCTGCCTTTAAAACAAGGGACACCTACTTTGTATTATGCAGCAAACTCTGAAATTGTAAGGCATATTCCGGCTAGTAGGTCAGTTTGGATGGGCTAGCAGTTCTGTCAACAGTGCTAGTAAAATCCTGCTACCAATAAGTCCTGGGGTAGTGAGCTGTAACAAAAATTTTAACCCCTGGACAAGCACTGCGCCCTCTGAAAACGGCCTAGCTGGAACACTGCTCATAATTGTACTTAATTATGTATTTGTAGGTTGACAAACAAGCAAAGGATAGTACTAAAGCAGCAAATGACAAAAAAATAAAGACTGATGAAGAAAAACTGAAAGGCTACTTTAAAGGGTAATGTAAAAAGTTATGCAATGGTTATGGAATATATTGTCTTCATGGTTAATTATTGGTAATTGAGTCCAGACCTGTTAGACTACTAAACATACATGTACATTGTAGTAACAGGCATTGGAGTACATGTTTACAAAGTTCCCAAAAAGTTGGTTTGAGTACGTTGTATATTATAAAGAAAAAATTGTAAAGACTGAAAAATTGAAAAGAGCAGTGCGACAAAAGAGTTGTAGACTGGGTTCTTAGGCAAGGATATTTTGTATGAAATTTGAGGGAATCTTCTGTCTGAGTCTTTCTTAGGGTCTCATGTTATAACATGTAATGTTTAATTTATTTTAAAATTATAACAATTAATTTCTTTCTTTAGGTGTTATGATCTTAAAGCTCAAGTTGACGATTTACTGAAGCAGGCCAGTGAACTTTCAGAGGTAAATTTACATTTATTTGTTATTTTAAATTTTTTAGTGATCAGTCATTACAATTATAAATTTTATTTCTAAAGTCCAAAAGAAGAGCACCTGACAATACAAATAAAGGAAATCTGTATTAAAAAAAATCTCATTTGTTTTAATTGAGCATAGCATACAACACCCAGATATAATTCTTGGTTCTGATTGGCCAGTTTTTCTACCTTCTTCTGTTAAACTACTATGCAAAGAAGATTAATACAAGAAGTTACGTAAACTCATAGTAAAGTGTCTGTAATATAAAGTTTAACTGTCCCCTGTTACAATGAGTAGCTGGGGATATTGATATGATGATGTTTATCAACATCATAAACACTCTCATGTCTACAGTTGTTATTGGATATAATGCTGCTAATGTCAAAGGCTTCCTCCAACTATATCTTTGATAAGTTTGAAAATAAGCACATTTGGTCTCTGGCAGAGAGTTGTCTGATTGGCAATCACACCACATCTTCTTATTTTTATACATATCTATTATTATCTTGATAGTTATATCTGTTTATACAGTCTTGTAAGTGCATTTTTAGCTACATTTTCTTGTCAGATGTTTAAAGGGGCATAAGCTACCAGATATGAAAGAAAAATAAAATATTATTTTTTTTTGTTCAATCAATGATGAAAATGAAATAGTGAATAATATGCACTTATCAACTTGTACAAAGGAATTATGTCCCTGGGAAATTGAAAATTGTATTGTAAGTGCTTTTATACCTACATTTCTCATTGGAATTTTATGTCATATGTTTTTATCAGCAATTTCTTATTTCAATTCCAAATTAGCACTTTATCAACTATTTTAACAAGAGTTAATTAGTCCCTAGGAAATGTTAATTATATGAAAATTTTGATGTCTGCATTTCTTGTTTTATTTTTAGGGATTTTATATCAAAGGTTTATATCAGCAATGTGTCTGACATGTTGGAAAATCAGCATTGTTTAACTTTTTTAAAGAAAGTTATGCCCCTCGAAATGTAAATTCTATGAACATTTGCATTGTAAGCACTTTCTTGTCAGAATAATAAAATTCATATCAAAGGTTTATAACAATGTCTCAAACAAGATAAAAAAATCACTGCATATTAACTTATTTACAGGATTATGTCCCTTGGAAATGTAAATTATGTGGAAAATTGCATTGTAAAGGCTCTCTAGATTACGTATGTTTATGAAAAGAATGAAAAGCATCAAAATAGTTGTAGTTATTGCCCTTGAGCAGATAAGATGGTGAGGGGGACATTGGATTGCCATTCATTTATTAATTCTCTGTTTTTTGGTGTTTGTTGTTAAGCAAGCACCAATCAATCCTTTATTTATTTGCCATGTTTTGGTATTAATTGTTATCATTGTTGCTATAGTAATACACACCATCATTAAATGTGATTCACATTGGCCTCCCTTAAAATAACTGGTTGATATTTGACCTGACTGCTATTTTGTAGGAAAATGAGCCAAGCAAAATAAAAGATTTTGAAAAGAAGAAAACAACAGAAGTAAACAGAATTACAACATGGCAGGTAGGCAACAGGCAAACATAATGTCATGTGATTTTATCGCATCTGGGGTAAGTTAGTGGCAATGTGATTGGTTTAACCCAGGTGCAGATTTGTAGGGGATCAGTAGCATTGATAGGGCATCATGACGTCATGTCTACTATTATTGTAATTTTATTTCATTGTTTAATTTTAAAATTTTGTACAAAAGTTGACAGGAAAGTCCCCTTTGCGATAAATTCGATATAACTTTTGCAATATTGGCATTTGCATGAATATATCTACCATTTTGTACAAGGCTCTACATTAGATTGTCCAATTGCAAGGACAACTGAAAATGATTTTCAACCTTGTAAACACCTTGTGCTATTTGTCCAATGTGACAAGTAGAAGGCAAGGGGGAATGAAAGAATTTGAAAATTAAAGGAAGATTTGCAAAGGAAATAAGTCATCTTATATTCGTCCTGTCAGTAACACCTATTTATTAAGTCAGGTTTATATATTATAAGTTATATGGTTTGCTACTGATCCTCTACAGATCCTTAGAGGGTTAGTTAAATCCATAGGAGTGAGACTGAAAGGGAATCCCTATCGATTTAACTAACCATCTATGGATCCGTAGAGGGTCGGTAGGGAAACATATAACAATTTATCTCACACAGGACTTCTCCTTCAAAGTTTTGTATAAAAATAAACAATGACATACAATAACAATAATAGATGTGACAGATCCATAGGGGGTTACCACGTGACAGCGTTAAATCAATCACATCGTTAGTAATTTACCCGAGGTGACATAAAATACTTGTTCAGTTTTCCTAAATAAAATTGAGAATGGAAACGTATGGTTTCTCAAATTCCTTACAACCATAACAAATGCAAGAATAATTAATGAATCAGATTTGAAACCATGAAAAGAAAGTAATGTAAAAAAAATTGTGAACACATATATTTATGTGATGAAAGTCCTGTCATTTTTTTTTTAGCATAAACTTAAACATTGCAGTAACTTCAGATATTTCAGTAATTTTCTTGAATTGTCTTTACAGAACCAGTTACAAACAGCAATGGACAAAGTTTTACCAGACGAGAAAGGAGCTGCTTATCTCAAGTAAGTAAAATAATGAGTAAATGACAGTCTGTGGATATCTTAGGGAACATACATTTATTCTTTTGAGCTTTAAGCATACTTGGGGAATGGTTGAAGCCTTTTAGAAAAGCTTTATTCCTTTAATACACAATAAAATCCAGTTAATGTCAATCCAACTTATAATCAACACTGAGTTATAGCCAAGAGCTTTTATCAGCTCAGCCTGTAAGCTTTTCATTTATAGTATTTTATATATATCTTACAGAATTCTACTTAGAGATTTAAATAAAAGTCTAGTTTAGAGTCTGACATAATAAATACTCCCTTGAGAGTATTTTGTTATTCTTAAAGCCCAAAGTATATAGTTTTATCATTTGTATTTAGATCACGTTCATTAATTAAGTGTGAATATTACTTGAAATCTTATCATAAAGTGACTGTCTAAATCAAACCACTACTGAAATGAAGGTTTGGTTTTGTTTTGTCTTCAATAATAGACATGTTTATACAATATTTATAAAATGTTCTGAATCGCACTAGGTAAAAAACACATCTAGAGGTCAACATACAATCTTTATCAACAGATATGTTTATACAATACATGTATGTTATGCTCTGAATCGCACTATATTTTTTTTTTGTATGTATAAACCATATCTAGAGGTCAACATCCAGTCTTTAACAATAGAGTGTTTATATGTCATGCTCTAAATCACACTATGTTTATACAATATGTCATGCTCCAAATAGCACTTTGTGTATACAATATATGTCATGATCTAAATCGCACTAAGTCAAGAGGGTTTAGATTTCTTAATACTAGTAGAAACTTGCCAAATTATCATGTGCCTATCCTGAGCAAAACAACCTTGGGATTACTTTTTATACGACCGCAAAAAAATTTTGTGGTCGTATATTGGTATGACGTTGGCGTCGTCGTCGTCGGCGTCGTCGTCGTCGTCCGAATACACATTGGTTTTCGCACTCTAACTTTAGTTTAAGTGTATGGATCTTTTTGAAATTTTACCATAAGGTTAAATACCACAAAAGGAAGGTTGGGATTGATTTTGGGGGTTATGGTACCAACAGTTAAGGAATTAGGGGCCAAAAAGGGGCCAAAAATAAGCATTTTCTAGTTTCCAGACAATAACTGTGGAACGGTGTATGGATCTCTCTGAAATTATACTACCAGTTTCCATACCACAAAGGGATGGTTAGGATTTGCTTTGGGGGGTTATGGCTCAAACCGTTTAGGAATTAGGGGCAAAAAAGGGGGAAAAACAAGGTTGTCCTGGTTAATGGACAAATACTTTAGTACAAAACATAATTTAAAGCAGTGTAAGGGAGATAAATCAAATACATCATTGAAATTATCTCCCTTACACTGCTATTAAATTATGTATAAAGTAATGGTTAATGAACAATAAAGATAATTTAAAACAGTGTAAGGGAGGTAATCCAAATACAACGTTTTGGTTACTTCCCTTACACTGCTTTTAAATTATGTTTAAAGAAATGCATATTTATAAAGGAAGACCAGAAAAAATATCTGCAAATGTTGCATCTTTTTTTTTACAAAAAAATCCATATGAAAGATTTGACACTATATTTTTAATTCTATTATAAAATAGATTAAGTTAGCACTATGGTAAATTTAAATGGGTAATTATGGTTGCCAACTCCATTGGAAATTTGAATTGAGATTTTGACCATATCTTGAGGGAAAGAATTTTTTTGGGGAAAAAAGGGGGGGGGGGGGGGGGGATAAAAAGAAATTGTTTATTTGTTATGCCGAATCTAACAGTGTATTTAGATTTTTAATTATGGGTCCAGTTTTCAAATTGGTCTACATTAAGGTCCAAAGGGTCCAAAATTAAACTTTGTTTGATTTTAGCAAAAATTGAATATATGAGGTTCTTTGATATGCTGAATCTAAACATGTATTTAGATTTTTGATTTTTGGCCCAGTTTTCAAGTTGGTCCAAATTGGGGTCCAAAATTAAACTTTGTTTGATTTCAACAAAAATTGAATATATGGGGTTCTTTGATATGCTGAATCTAACCATGTATTTAGATTTTTTAATTGTGGACCCCGTTATCAAATTGGTTCATATTGAGGTCAAAAGGGTCCAAAATTAAACTTTGTTTGATTTCATCTAAAATTGAATTCTTAGGGTTCTTTGATATTCCAAATCTAACCATGTATTTAGATTTTTAATTTTGGGTCCTGTTTTTTAAATTGGTCTACATTAAGGTCCAAAGGGTCCAAAATAAAACTTAGTTTGATTTTAACAAAAATTGAATTCTTGGGGTTCTTTGATATGCTGGATCTAAACATGTGTTAAGATTTTTGATTATGGGCCCAGTTTTCAAGTTGGTCCAAGATAGGGTCCAGTATTTAAACTTTGTTTGATTTCAACAAAAATTGAATATATGGGGTTCTTTGATATGCTGAATCTAAACATGTATTTAGATTTTTGATTATGGGCCCAGTTTTCAAGTTGGTCCAAATTGGGGTCCAAAATTAAACTTTGTTTGATTTCATCAAAAATTGAATTATTGGGGTTCTTTGATATGCCAAATCTAACCGTGTTTTTAGATTTTTAATTTGGGTCCGTTTTTTTTTAAATTCGTCTTCATTGAGGTCCAAAGGGTCCAAAATTAAACTTAGTTTGATTTTAACAAAAATTGAATTCTTGAGGTTCTTTGATATGCTGAATCTAAACATGTGTTTAGATTTTTGATTATGGGCCCAGTTTTCAAGTTGGTTCAAGTTGGGGTCCAAAATTAAACTTTTTTTGATTTCAACAAAAATTGAATATATGGGGTTCTTTGATATGCTGAATCTAACCATGAATTTAGATTTTTTATTTGTGGGCCCCGCTATCAAATTGGTTCATATTGAGGTCAAAAGGGTCCAAAATTAAACTTTGTTTGATTTCATCAAAAATTGAATTATTGGGGTTCTTTGATATTCCAAATCTAACCGTGTATTTAGATTTTTAATTTTAAGTCCCGTTTTTTAAATTGGTCTACATTAAGGTCCAAAGGGTCCAAAATTTAACTTAGTTTGATTTTAGCAAAAATTGAATTCTTGGGGTTCTTTGATATGCTGAATCTAAACATGTGTTTAGATTTTTGATTATGGGCCAAGTTTTCAAGTTTGTCCAAGTTGGGGTCCAAAATTAAACTTTGTTTGATTTTAACAAAAATTGAATATATGGGGTTCTTTGATATGCTGAATCTAACCATGTATTTTGATTTTGGACATTGGACCATAATAGGTAAATTAAAAAAATTCAAGTTCTTAGACCACATTCTTTCTGTGTCAGAAACCTATGCTGTGTCAAATATTTAATAACAATCCAAATTCAGAGCTGTATCAAGCTTGAATGTTGTGTCCATACTTGCCCCAACTGTTCAGGGTTCGACCTCTGCGGTCGTATCAAGCTGCGCCCCAGCGAAGCATTTTATTGTTTGTTAATCTTAAGGTAGGTTCACTGTATATCGCCATCTTGGATTGTACAATAGCAGTACACAATTGGTCTAGTTCTTTGCCTAAATCTTCAAATAATTTTGAGACCGATTTGCAATTTATGTGTAAGACTGCTTATTTGTATTAAGAAAAATAGGTGATTCATTGCATTATCCAAAATTTTTTAAATCAAACCAAATACTTAAGTTTTTAGAATCAATTTTTCAACTTGGTCATTTAAGGGGAGATAACTCTTATAGGTAAAATTTTATACTAGAATGATAGTGAAATTTTCTTTTTTTACTTGTGCAAGAAAACAAGTTCGGTGACTCCTTTTTTTCTTTTTATTTTCTTAAAGCATATTATAAAACCCATCTTCTCATGTTTTATTTCAAAATTCTATCTCATAGATTTCTTTTAATTCACAAAAATGTGTGACCCATACTTTTTGTTACATTTTTGAAAAAATCATTGAAAAATCTTCAGTTTGGCAAAGTATAAAAAAATTCTATCTGAGGAAATATATACCAATGATCCACCTTAATATTTTTTTTTTTTGTTGAGAATTGGATGTTATCGACAGATCTTTGATACAGTTTGTTAGATTTATTAACAACTTTATAGACAAGGGACGATTTAGAGCTTCATATATTGTATAAACATCTTTCTCTAATTCTAAGCCGATTTGTCCTTTTCCTGACCTGTTGAATTATTTTATTTAATCAATGTGTAGTTCATATGATATCAGTTTTTCATTGGTTAAAATTCAATTATGATGTCAAATTTTCTTGCTTTCATCTGATTTTTCTAATGTGAAGTCTGGAAAAAGGAAACCTCAGCTGTTGACGTCACATAGAAAGAAGGCATATTTTTGCAGATCATTGGAAAATTAGGATAAAGTTTGTCTGCAAATCGTCTAAAAATCATTAGAGAAACAGATTCCACGACCAAATCTCGTGCATTACGAAATACTTCACTCTCGACACTTAAATTTTAAATGTTTAAAATTTGAATATTTAAATGTAGACCAGTTAAAGACTGTATGTTGCCCTCATGGTGTCCTTTTGTTATTTGTGTTGTTGGTTTTCTTCTATTGACAATGGACAATTACTCCACATCTACTTTTTGTCTAGCTTGCAACATGTTATCACAAAAGCTAGATATAGTGCACTTACATTCTGTCTGCATCAGCATCTTGGCGTTGTCAACACTTAGAATCAGTCTGTGAGCTTTTTAAACATCAATAACTGTTAAATCTTCTTGGAATTTTATGAAACTTTAACAGAAGCTTTTTTATGATCAAAAGACAGTGTCCAGAGCAAAATTATGAAAATAATTTTTTTCATTTTTCCATATTTTGCAGATAAAAGGACTTAATTTTTATACGACATCAAAAAATTGGGTCGTATATTGGTATCACGTTGTCGTCGTCGTCAGCGTCGGCCGAAGACATTTGTTTTCCGGATAATAACTTTAGTAAATGTAAATAGAAATCTATGAAATTTAAACACAAGGTTTATAACCACAAAAGGAAGATTGGGATTGATTTTGGGGGTTATAGTCCTAACAGTTTAGGAATTAGGGGCCAAAAAGGGGCCCAAATAAGCATTTTTCTAGTTTCCAGTCAATAACTTGTGGAATGGTGTATGGATCTCTTACTTGTGGAATGGTGTATGGATCTCTCTGAAATTATACCACAAGTTTCCATACCACAAAGGGATGGTTAGGATTGGCTTTTGGATGTTTATGGCTCAAACCGTTTAGGAATTAGGGGCAAAAAAGGGGGAAAACAAAGGGTTTCCTGCTTAATGGACAATTAAAAAAAAGTACAATGTTATGTTTGGATTACCTCCCTTACACTGCTTTTAAATCATGTTTAAAGAAATGTTGTATTGTCTTGAGGTGATTAGCTGTCAATTTATTTTTGAAGTTACTATTTAGAAATGCTGATTAAGGAATATTAATTTTAGCCATGATTATGTATGTCATTTTCTATTTTAAGACTTTTATGATGTATTTAAATGGGTAATTATGGTTGCAAACTTCATTGGAAATTTGAATTGAAATTATGACCATATCTTGAGGGAAAGAATTTTTTTTGTACAAAAGCAAAAAATTGAATATAAATTCAAATCATACAACCAATTCTAAGTTCTTTGACTACAGTTATTCTGTGTCAGAAACCTATTATGTGTCAAATATTTAATTTACAATCCAAATTCAGACCTTTATCAAGCGCGAATATTGTGTCCATTTTTGCCCCAACTGTTCAGGGTTGGACCTCTGTGGTCGTATCCAGCTGCGCTCGGCGAAGCAATTTATTTTAGTTGTCAACATTGAGATAGTCATGGGTTAGACGTCAATTACTTTGTTGAAACCTTCATTAAAGAAACTTGAACAGAAGATATTTTATGATCAAAAGACAGTAAAAAGGGCAATTTTTTGGCAGATAACTGGACTTTTTTTGCAGTAAAGGTTAAGACACTATCGAAGCCAAAAGTGTTTTAGACATCAATAACGTTGTCAAATTTTAAGAAACTTAGGCACAATCTTTTTGAAGATAAAAAATAGCATCTAAAGAAAAAAAGTTAGAATTTAAATATTTGTTTTCTGTAATTTACTGATGATAAGACTGATGAAAAGATGTGAACAAAATTTACAAAAATGTTATGCTTGTCAAACTTCTATAAGACTGGTCATTGTAAATTCTACAACAGATTGATTGTTGCTTTCGAAATGACCAGCGGCAAATATAACATGTTAATACAGAACAATATTCAGTTTCAGAGGTCAATTTGAATACGTTTCTTGCTTAAGCAGAACATGGTGTAGACAGGTTTCACTGTATTTGATTACTTGTAGGGAATTAAAAGGTGAAGCTGAAGAAGAAGAAGATGAGGAAGAAGGTGAAGATGAAGAAGAAGGTGAGGAGGAAGAAGAAGGGGAGGAGGAAGAAGAAGGAGAAGATGAAGAAGAAGGGGATGAAGATGAGGAAACTATACATGAAGAAAAAGGTATGGATAAAGGAAAATAGTGTATTTAGTTTTAGAAGAGAAGAAATACATGTATGTAAGGTATGTACAGTAAAAAAATAAGATTTTTCAAAAGAGAATATTTTAAAAAGGAAAGTTTGTTGAGGGAGAAAAGGCAACCTAATTACGACAGGTTGAGAATGTTGAATATATAAATGAAAAATAAAGATACAAATTGAATTAGATTTGTTTGATTTTTTGCTGGTTTTGAATGCGACTTGAAGCGTTGTGGGTTTTATCAGAAACCCAGAGAGAACCACAGGCCAGGGGCAGGAAAACTGGCAATCCGAGGCAGAAAATAGAATAAAAATATTTTTTCTGTAAAAAAAACCAGAATGCAATTCAAAATGAAATTTAAAATTTAAACTAAAATGTTATTTTAGGAAAGGGCAAACCAGTAGAGAAATTAAAAATAGAAAGAAAAGATGATGACGAGGATGATGATGAGGATGAATATGAAGAAGATGAAGATGAATATGAAACAGAGGAAGATGAAGAAACAGATCAGTAAGTAAAGAATAAGTAAAAACATATTTTATTTGCTAATTCTAAGCAAAATGGATGAGATACAAGTAAATCATGTTTCTCTTATGATTGTGGCCTTTTATCTATTTCCTGCACGGAGTGTGATACGAAAACTGCGTTAATTTTGATTGGCTTATCCAGCATCAGGAGACGATATTACAACATTTCCATTGGCTATTCGTTAGGTCATTGTTAACTTTCAAAGGTTAAGGCGATGTACATTTTGTCCAGGCAATGGACATATGTGATTCCTTTGATAATATACAAAACACTAACACTTTTCACCTGGAAACCCTCTTTTCATTAAATTTTAAGGTGGTACCAAAAACCTTGACTAAAATTAATTTGGTTTGTTTAATTTTCATAAAATTTTGACAAAATATTAACTTTGACCCTTTGACAAAAATATAAAAATTCCAAAAAACTTGAACCACACACTTTATCGGAAAAATTTCATTGGATATATAGCAGTTTGACAAACACTAATTTTGAATATTGAGAAGCTGAATATTTCCTCAACAATAGAACGTGATGAAAACCTTCAGCTGATTTTTACAGAGTTAGCTCCCTGTAGTGTTATGTACCACCTTAATACATTCTGAAGCGTACAAAAATATTTTAAATGTCTGATGTTTAAGTTTGACGCCTGAAAAGTATGTGACAAATGCTGGTATGTGCAAAAGACTAGATCAACAATTCATGGAATTTTTTATTGAACACAATGAGAAGGTTAATCATAAGAGAAATAGGTTTAACAACTCGTTATTTAATTTAAATAGTAAAAATAAACTTGCCAAAGGCTCGTTTATTATTATATTAAAATTAAATAACTCGAGTTGATATCAAGCGATATCCAATTCTCACTTGTTATGAAACCTTTAAATATGAAGTCTTCTAAGTGAATAATACACAGGGCAAAAATCTGCTGTATATGATGATAGCTCAAACAAATGTTTGGAATGGTAATCAGGAAAAAGATCCTATTGAGTCTTTTGTAGACGAAATGCGTGTCTGGCATACAAAATTTTAATCCTTGTATCTATGATGAGTTTATTTACAACCACTGGATCGATGCCACTGCTGGTGGAGGTTTCCTCCCCAAGGGTATAATTGAAAATAAAGCAAATCAAATGGAAGTCCTTAGGGGTTTGTAGTTATTGGGACTTTGTATGTGAGACTTTGTAGCAGCATGCTTTTACAATCATTTCTGGTTATTATTCTGTCAGCTGTGTCATTTGTGTGTCTATATTTATTTTCATAAGAATGTAGATTTTGGTCATAGTTGGTTCATGTCAAATGTTTCAATGGCGAATGAAGAAAAATTATAAAAATGAACAATTTATGACAAGCAATTTGGAAAGGAATAAAACGTTTTTAATGCAACTAAAGGCAATTTTCATCACGTTCTAACAAAGTTACAAATTTATATTGCCGAAAATCAGAATTTTTTTATGTATGCTCTCAAGTAACAAGAACTTGAAGTGAAAAAAAATACTTCATAAAAACTTGTTTATTTGAAAAACCATACGACCAATCTGTAAAGTCAATGCTTTTACCAGGAAAGAAATTGTTTATGTCTTTCATTATTGGATGTTTGACATTGTTATTGTCATCCGCTGATATTTTCATTATAATATGTATGACTGTGCACACAAAATGCAAACCGGAAATGGATTATCAACATCACTGAGCCAAACCAACTGATTTCCGACTTATTTCAATTATCTGAACACCACTAATAGATATATGTCATTAAGTTCACCATTAATTAGTTTATGAAAAGTATTCAATAATTCATAGGCTTTCATAGTTTTATTTGAAAATGAAAACATTTTTCAAATTAAGGAAGAAACCTGCAGAAACAAAGAAAGAGAAAATGCAGAAAGAAGAGAAAGAAGCTGATGAGGAAGAGGAGGAAGAAGAAGATGACGATGAAGAAGAGGGTGAAGATGAGGATGATGAAGAAGAGGAAGAGGATGAAGAAGAAGAGGAGGAGGAAACAGAAAAGAAAGGAAAGAAGAAAAAGAAAAAAGATGTTGCAGAAGATACACTTGAAGTTACCACTGGAGTGAGTTGCATGTTATGAATTGTAGAAATTATTTCATTATCATTTTACTTGGAGATCAGTTCAATTCAAGAAATTTTACAAAAATTGATACCAAAAGCAGAGCTGAAAATGGGATTTTTGGGTTTGCCCAATCTTATTTATGACACCAAAGAACTACTTCAGTTCTACCATGGCTGTACAAAGGGAAGCAAAAATGACATAAGTGGCAAAACCTCTATATAAAAATCAAAAGATGTTGTATGATTGCCAATGAGATAAATATCCACCAGAAACCAAATGCCTTAGATGTAAGCAACTGTAGGTTACTGTACAGCCTTCAATAATGAGCAAAGTCTCTATTCTATCTCAAGATGATAATGGATGTTCTCTTTTATTTGTTATAGTTTAGACAACCTCAAATTGATATTTAGATTGTTACTTTTTATTTAGGCTGTTTAGCCAAATTTGAATTTTATTTTTCATAAAAATGGTATAAATGGGATAGCTTTTTATTTAATTTTTCAGGGACGTATGTTTGAAGCTGTGTGTGAATATAAAGGAGACCAACCTGGAGATTTATCATTTAAAGTTGGAGATGTATTGACTATTGTACAGACTAGGTAGGTAGTTAATCTCCTATGAGACTGGTAGTAATTATGATAATGTTTTTTTTTCTTATTGAAAAATATTCTGTTGCCCCTAAATATGTTTTACTGGGAATTATATTTTGATATCTTTATGTCTTTTTTTTAACTTGTTCTCATGATTTCAAACCAACTAATTGTACAAATATTTATTTTAAAGTGACACAATTTTCTTTAGAAACTACAAAGATTACCTTGTCCTAAGAAAAGATAACTCATCATAAGAAAAGTATTTTTTTAGGAAACTGTTATCATTACTGATTTTCCACCCTAGTCAAATCTTAGAATTCATAACACAATAATTATGAATTCATGGTAGGAAGGTATCTGCTCATGTCAATTCTTCAACTTAGCCTAGGAAACACACATATCATTTTTGCTGTTTATTAATAAAAAATCTATGATTAGCAATAAAGGAATTTCTTTTTAGATAAAAAAAAGGTAAATCATATAGTATATTTTGGAAGAAAAATTTACATTCAATGGATCGATTCATAAATGGCATTGCATAATTTGAATGTCACTGTTTTTGGTTGGTCTGAAAGTCCAAATGTCATTTACGATGAAGTTGAGACTGAGGATATTAGTTGAAATTCTGTATTGGTTCATTTAAAACTCAAATAGATATTTTAGCATTAGTCACAGAGAAAGGTATAATATAGTTTTACAAGAACAGACATCCATATTTTAAGTTCATCTGTACTTAATTATCTTACAGAGAAGATGGTTGGTGGGAAGCTGAGAATGAAAATGGAGACAGAGGAGTGGTGCCCTCTACATTTTTACAAGTAAGAAATAAACTCATCATAGATACCAGGTTTATAAATTTTGGTTCACCAGATGTTCGTTTCTTCTACAAAAGATTCATCTGACAGTGACACTCTAATAAAAAAAATTAAAAAGGCCAAATTAATTACGAATTTGAAGAGCATTTAGGACCCCAAATTTCGAAAGATTTTGCCAAATACAGATTAGGTAATCTATGCCTAGGGAAGATATTATTAACATTTTATTTTCCCTGAAATTTTAACGATTAATGTCAGAACAGAGAATATGTTATTGTGTATATCATATAATTTATAGGCAACTGTGCCTGACATGAAATTTGTACAAAATTCTTATTTTAACCAGCATTTTCACTTTTGTTTTATGTGATCTTGTTTGAAAATTATAATGTGTTTTGTACATTGGAAAATAATTTTATCTCCATTTAGCAACATTTTACATTTGATTACAGGAATATAACAAGTACAAAGATTTACAGAAGGATGATGGTATGTACTTCAGACAAACTTACTAGACAATTTACATAACGGCTGTTCCAGAATGTATCGGAAAGGAGGGGGGGGAATGGGATGCACTCATATTAATATGGTTGCAATTTCCTTAGAATTTTGTAAGAAAGTGTCGGCAAGTACCCTATGCATTTAATTCTGTAACAGCTCTAAGCTAACGGGAAATAACTCAAAGTATTGGAATAAACTCAAAGTAAAGAGTCATGCCAACTAAAATAATGGAGTTTCTATTTTGAAATCCTTTTTAGAGATAGATTGATACTTTATTCTCTAAAAACTAAATACAAGTTTAAAGAGAAAGTACAATATAAGTACAAATACAATAGTTGAAGGTAAACAGATGCAGTACGATAATGTAAAATGAAGTACAACTTTATGATGACATTCATGTACAATAAACGGTTAAACAAAATATGAAGAAATCAGCCTGGTGCTATATGTTGACATGGAGGGACTAACCTTTTTATTAATACACTTTCACATCATTTAGATATGGCAAATCTGATGTATTTTCAGTGTAAATAATGTTTATAATAAACTACTTTTTTTACCTTTATTCGTTATAGAAATTATAACTGAAAAATACTCAAAACATGCAATTTAGAATTGTATATTATTTCCTGTTGTTCACACATTTGTTTATTCTTTATAATGTAGCCAACAAAAATTGAAGTTGAATTAAACCAAAACAAAGCAATTTTTCACAGAAATGAATTTTTAGATGATATACCTATACAAATTATTTTCGAAGGCAAGGAGAAACTAAATTCAGAGAAAATTGCAATCCTTGTTTATTTCCAGTTATTGCTAGCTAGTATAATCATGAATATAATCCTTAACTTTACTATTACAATCATTATGAATTAGATAATAACGTATTGTGTTACATTTCGTCTGCATTAAACATTGTTTTGCTGACAGACCTCAAAAGAATTTTGTTTTTTTATCGAATGATTGATTTGTGAGAATCACACATTTTTGGTGACAAATGTTTTGTATTACAGATGAAGAAGAGGAGGAGGAAGAGGAAGAAGCAGGAGATGAGGAAGGAGGGGAGACAACCAGAAGGTATATATTATTGTTGCTCACAGGTTTTTAATGGTGTTTGCTACTCTGTTTCAAAATAACAAGCTTTTTAAAAGACTGTTACAAATTGATAGTATATAAATAAAGGAACTAGAAAAGCAGAAAAAAATGAAGGGTTTGTGTGCTTGTTTTTGAGATATAAGCCATTGAAAATTTGGGGTGAAATGATTCTCTCTAGTTTTTTTTATACTTTTAACATTGTCCGCTTTTCTCTTTTAAAATCTATGAAAAAATAACAAGGATTTTATAAGATTTTCAAATATGACTTTTAAAACTATATGAAATAAAATTATGAAAAGAAAAGTAGGGGTTAGTGAACAAAAGTATTTAATGTCAAAACATGGATAAAACCAGAGGATTCCGAAAATCTGGCAAAAATTCAAAAACAAGAGGAGCAAACATCCTTAAAGTCAATAAGGATGGGCATAACAGTAATTATGTTTCTGATATTTTGAATAATAAATATTGAAATTTATGATTTATGATTTTTCAGTCAAATGCACTGAAATATTTTTCTTAAAACATCACTAAGCATTTAATGGGAGGGTTCTCCCCTGGGCCTTATAGCATGATGCTGAGTTTTGTATCCCTGTTCCATTTCATTAGTAAGTTTTGATTTTGATTGCTTAGTGATCTACAGACCTGATTATGTTAGGTTAGTCTCTGCCAGTCTTTCATTAAAAGGAATGTCTATCTCACCTCAGAAGAAAGTCTTCAGGATTCTGTTTCTGGCGTAGGCGGTAGTGTCAGTCAACAATTGTTAAGATTGTGATTAGGTTACACAGGTGACACATATTTCTGTATACTGAATATTCAGAAAAACAAATTGTGCATTATTCATTTCGATTGTTGAACAATGAAAAAAAAAGCAATATTCATTATGTTCCATACAAATTACCTATCTCATTACAATTTAGGCAAAAATAGAATCATTACAAAAATGTCTGAATTTACAGTATTTGCTTTTCTATTCTTATCTGAATTTCGTGTCCAATATTATAACATGTCTTTCTGTTCCTGATTTCAGTGGTAAAAAGCATTGGGGAAGTATCAAGAAAGCTGTCAATGAGGTATGTTTACTTTAATACATTATGTTGGAACAAATTTAAATGTTCAATGGTACAAAGTAATGAAAGATGGAAATAAAGTTTAACAAGATTGCTGCAGTTTTTTTTCTTTTTTTTTTTTGCCACTGGACGTTAAGTAAATAACAATTTATCATTTATTATTAGCTTCTAAAAATGCAGATTAATTTTATTCTGTTTCACTTTAAAAATAGATGCTTTGATTGATGAAATTACTTATTACAAACACATTAACGATTTAAAAAATTATTTCTTTGAACACAACCATACCCCCTTAAATATGTAAATTTTGGAAGACAAAAAAGTCCATCCAAGAATCAGAAGCCTGCATTAGTCTTGTTAGGGAAATATTCATCACATTTGTGTAGTTACAATGGGTTTAACTTTAGTACTTCATGGTTGCAGTTTTTTTTTTTTACAATGGTTATGATGTAGAAAGTAAACTATGTATGGTTTGTTTTGTAATTCTTTAGATTTGTTAAACATTTGAGTACTTTCAAGTGAGATAAATGTCTAATTTAACTTTTGGGTTTTTATGTCGAATTTTGATAATGGTGACCTTGATTAATAATGAGGACCTTGATTAACAATGGTGACCTTGATTAATAATGGTGACCTTGATTAATAATGAGGACCTTGATTAACAATGATGACCTTGATTAATAATGGTGACCTTGATTAACAATTAACACAGAATCATTGATCAAGTGTTATTCAATAGCAGTACTTTTCTGAAGATTTGGATAAAATAGATAATTTTCTTTTAAAAGAAAGTCTTTGTAATGTGTTTATAGAAAAAAATAATTTAAAGTATATTAAACATATTCATCTTTTTTTTTTGTTAAATATAAAGGATTATATGATGACTCTTGTGTAAACTGACAACATCTATCAGAACAATAACACAACATATTTCTAATCAGAATAAAATATTTATCTCCACAGATTTTCAGGTTTTTAAATAATTTACAGGGTACCTCAGTTGAACTACTGCTTCACTAGACTGTGAACACTGAGGTTGTGAGTTTGAGCCCTGAACGTGGCAAATGGGTTTAACTCCAATCTTAATTGACTTGGACTGCCAGTTTTCCTGTCAAAAATCATGGTTCTCTCCAGCACCCTGGCTTCCTCCACTAATAAAAACTGGCTACCATGAAATAGCCAATAGGGATGAAAGTGGTGTTAAAAACCAAAAATCAATCAATTAAGCAATCAAGATTTTATAAATTGATAATAGACCTTATCGATATTTGGAAATCTGTGATACTTGACCTCAGAATCTGAGACACTTGAATTTTTCGACATCATACAGCAATCACTTTTCCTTTGTGGCATCAGAAATTTTCTATTGTGACGTCAAAATTTTACGGAAACCTTTGTGATGTCAAGTAATGGCAGACAAATAGCGATAAGGTGTATAGATTACTAAGTATCAAACACCAAAATAATACCAACTAATCAGTTTTCTGTCAGAAAAATATACCCTTCTTTTCATAAAATAAATTTTCTTGAAAGCACTCCTTGTAAAAGAAAATTATAATCATGTAACCTTACATATGTTTGACCTTAATTGTCATTTAAATGCCTCTGAAAAAAGGTGGGCATAAACTTTACTTAATACTCGGAGTACAAAATTTGTGCTTGAAACAGGAAATCCAGTATTTTGATTGGTTGATGTCTGAGTCTAAGAAAGATGATCGTACTCAAAATTTTATGGCCTGATATTTTATAAAATAACTCTTCATACATAAAAGTATATAACACAATCGGTTGTTTATTGTTAACAGTTTTATGAGTTTGGTTTTAAATGTGTTTTGTGTGAAGTTATTAAAATGACCAACATTCACAATTAATAATTTTTTGTAAATGATTAAGTCATTAAAAGAAAAAAAGAAAGTGAGTATAAATGTGTTTTCTCTAATATTAAATTAACAATCTTCTGTTAAATCTGTTAAAATAATTTCGTCTTCTGAGTCCATTTTTTCTAACTAACAATATCTTTCTTGATGGATACCTTCCTCTTTAAATACATCATATTATATAATTTAACAACATAACCCAACAAGTCTTTGATTTTGAAAGTAAACAAAGAAGAGAAATTACTTTGTTTGCTGCACTGGTTTCCCCATCTGTAAGAAACCAATATTGTAATTTTCGTTTTCCAACAACAACAACAAAAAATGTTTCTGAATAACCCGTCTGTTAACAAAATGAAAATCTTCACATAGAAAAAAATGCATTACTTCTTTCCTTTTTTCAATAGAAAAACAAAGGATATTGGGTATCCATCCATGACACAAAATCAGTACATGCACAGCAAAAAAAATACACAAAAGATAAAGGATATTGGGTATCCATCCATGACACAAAATCAGTACATGAACAGCAAAAAAATACACAAAAAGCAAAGGATATTGGGTATCCATCCATGACCCATCCATGACACAAAATCAGTACATGCACAGCAAAAAACACACAAAAAGTATAGGAACTGTGCTTTTATTGCTGTAAGAATGAATATAGGACAAAAGCAAACAAACTAATTTTATTATGATATCTTTATTGTTTTAAAATATTCTAACATGACTAACAAGAATAATTAATAAGCATATGTTGTCTGGTTTGAATTTCTTTTCCCAAATATTGACTTTATTTTAGCCTTTTTTTTGCTATCTGCGTTTTAATCATATGTTGCAGCTGATTATTTATTATTTCATGCATGTATGTAATCCTAGATTTGTAATATTTTATTAGGATTTAAAAGATGAGGTGAGGGGTTGTCTATAATGTCACTGTACACAGTCCTTGATTTCTGTCACAATTGTCCTGAAGTTCTGTCACAGTTGTCCTGGAGTTCTGTCACAGTTGTCCTGGAGTTCTGTCACAATTGTCCTTAAGTTCTGTCACAATTATCCTGAATTTCTATCACAATGATTAAGACCCTAAATCACATCACTTTCACTTTCTTTCTATAAAGAATATCATTAAGTACACATTGAATTGTAATGAATTTTGCTGAATATACAGTTGAGTAGTGCGAAGTTGACTTTTATCACACATATGAATATTCAAGATATTTGGTAAGGAGATCAGCTTAAATTGTCAGTCTGAGAGATAGTTTGTATGAAAATTATTCTTTGGCTATCAAGACATTAGCAAAAACAGCTGCTTTCATTAGGGTATATAATGAGCAAATGCCTATGAGAAGAGATAAAAAGGCTAGACGTTTTGGCAAATTCCACAGCATAGAGGATACACATACCTCAGTGATGGTGAAATATGAATGAATTTCATCAGAAAAGACATGAAAAATACACTAGCAATTATTCCATCAATATCCAGAATACCTACATAAGGTTTAATCAGGTCAATTACCAAAATGTGAAGCTTTTGTTTTAGCATATGATTGAAACATCATATTTGTGATTTGGCTGAAATATTTAGCAGATATAATTCTTGTATTTGAATATTTTTGGGCATCATTTGGGATTTGATTTTACTATCCAAGAGTCAAGTCTTATCAAATGAACATTACAAAAAGTTTTGCATAAGAAAATACAAGTTAGGAATACAGTTTAACAGTAAAAGGGTCAATTTTAACAAGAATAGTAAAATGATTTCAGGACTGTTTATATCTGAATTTAAGCTAACTTTTAACAATACGATTGTGTATCTTTTCTTTTTCTTGCACTTAACCTATTTTGCTTTGTTATTAATATAATGATATTATGATAATAAATTTCAGTACACTCATATAAACCTGAGGCTGATGGTAAACAATGTTGGCATATTGCCATTAGCTTTTGTTATTAAATTTTACTGTTAATTTCTTTTTTCATTGCGTGCATGATACTTGAGAATTTGATGTAAAATTTTCTTACAATTTTGTTATAATATGTGTTGTTTTATTACCCATTATTAAAGATATAAATTAATTGTAACAAGTCTTAAAACCAAACAACTGAAATAAAAGCTTACACATAAACTTATATTTAAAAACCTTACAAAGACCAAGTTATTAGCACAATACTTATATCATATAGTCAATTCTAAATAGTCTGAAGACAGTCAGCTAAATGAACAATGCCAGCATAGGAGGAGATGTTTGGAATCCAGTTACAGCACTTGGTCTTACTCTGTTTGATTCCATCTCTTTTTACTCCCATGTTTACAAAATTGTTTTTTCATGTCATACTCTATGGTCATTTTAACATAAGTAGGCATTATATTTGTCAATATCTTAATACCTAGCGTCAGCAAAACCAACTGTTTCTCAACTAAAAATTGAATTGAAACATGTAAACTTTCTTTCAGAAAGATTTTATTTAAATTCCTAGTAAGCAGCACAGACAAAATGTCCATTTTGGTCTCCAGCATTATTCAAAATACAGTAGAGGTTGCAATTTTAATTATGATGTCACACACATGCAGCTCATTTTCTATTGGAATAAATCAATTGTCTTTTATTACCTGGACTTCATATATTAACTGAACATTGGTATATTACCTTTATATTGAATCTTTACTAAATCAAATAAATATATATAGCAAGGATGTTTATCAACCTTGACTACCAATACCAGTCTGATGTAAATATATATAGAGACATTGATAACTTCAAATTGAGGCTCCTCAGTACAGGAAATAGATTTAACATGCAATTTAAAGATTTTTTATTTTTATTTTAGACGAGTGCAACAGATGTACTTCATGCTTTAGGAGCAATGCCTTCAGGATTTAGACCTTCTACATTGAAACCTTTATCTGTCAGAGGTACAGTTGATATTAATTTATTTATCAATAATTTTAACGATTTTTGTACTTATAGTTTGATAAAGAGTTATTTCCCTTTTTTGGCAGATATTTATGGTATCATTGAACCATGTACCTTTGTCTAAACTTTTATTTTTTTTGTATGTATAGCTTTTTCCATCATCTGTAGGTAAAGTTTAACTATTTGTAAATGCTTCTTACGTAATGGGCTTTGTTAAAATAAGAATGGAATAACTTTCAAGTACAGTGAAACTTGTCTAAAGAAAAACTTGCAAACCTGTAACAAGAAAGCTTGTATATCAGAACATACAACAAGTTATGTGTACTAAATAAACACCCTGTTTAATCTGAAAAAATTCAGTTCTGAAGTGGTTCATTTTATATAGGTTTTACAAAGGGTAATTAAAGGACATAGAATGGTTTTACAAGTCATCTTTTTCTTTTTCCATTGTGACCAGATTTTAACATAAATATTTTAGCATCTTTTATATATTTATTACAGATGATACATACAGAATGAAGAACTACCTGTCACCTAAACTCAGTAAATCTAACTTGTTCTACAGAGATCTATTCTATGATCCTCAAAAATCTCAGGTAAAAAATGCTTTTTTCAAAAATATCAGTTAGAGAAATAATCATATCTTATGTAAAAAAAAGATATCCATAAAACTTAAAAAAATATTCCCAAAATTTCAGGTAACAAGAAAATATCTTGGATAAAAAAAAATGTTTTATGAGGAAGTTATTTTTACATATTTATTTTTTTTTCTCTATAGTTATTTGTAAAAAAGCTGAAAGCTCTACAAAATATTTTCACTACTGAACAGAGGGTTGGTATAGCATAGAATTATATTTTCCTTTACAGATAATGCCAAGAAACAGTAAATTTGACAGAATTATAACTATAACAAGCTGTAGACAGATTCCTACACCTTCAAAAGGTATCACCATGTTTTGATACATTGTAGTTTTTAGATTTCTACAGTAACATATACATCAGCGTTTAAATTTTCTCAATTAATTTTAGTCCTTGTAAATGGAATTTTTTGACACACTTGTCATATTTGCTTCTTAAAGAAAAAAATGAAAGTTTACAGGAATGCCAATATGACTAAAACCATCAATTAACTCCTTATTGGTGATTAACATAGTTTGAAAACTATCATATGTATTATTTCTAAACTTACATACAGAATGTTATAGATCTTATTAGAATATTTTTGACCAAAGTACAGATTAATTGGTGGATATAGAAAACGAATCGAAAGAGAGGCAAAGGATACCAAAGGGACATTCAAACTCATAAGTCGAAAATAAGCTGACAACGCTATGGCTAAAAAAGAAAAAGACAAACAACAGTACACAAAACAACATAGAAAACTAAAGACTGAGCAACATAAACCCCACCAAAAACTGGGGGTGATCTCAGGTGCTCCAGAATGGTAAGCAGATCGTGCTCCACATGTGGCACCCGTTGTGTTGCTCATGTAAGTACAAATCAGGTTATATGTCTAATTCAGAAGGTCATAATTGAATATGTTTATCATTTCAGCTATTTCTGTAAAGTCAAGATATGTCAGAGTTTGCTTGTTTGATGGACAAAATGTAAGTTGTACCTGATAGTGTGCCATTGAAAAAAAAGAGTCATATATATACCACCTTATTATATATACCCCTGCTTTAAAAAAGTGGGGGTATACTGTTTTACCTCTGTAAAATTAATGTAAATTGACCCCAATAGCTTGAAGTTCGAAAGTAAGAATGATAAAATTTTTTCGAAAGATGCGGACATAATGATAAAAGTTTAAATCGGATGTATTTCTTATGTAACCCAATCATTTTCAAAAGAGATTAAAACTGAGTAAACATACTTGTTTGTATAACAGTTAAAATTACATGTTTATGGTGATCGGTAATTAACACCTTTGTGGATTGTCCAAGCGGAACCTTAGTATGTTGAAGATATTTCACATAACATAAAAACGAAACGAATTTAAATGACCAAAGCTGAGATTAAATGAATCATTAGAATTAAATTTATTAATTACAATAAATAAAAGGATTAAGACATGATAAATTCATAATAATTTTATATAAAGCAGAAGACCTCATCAGAGACTGTTCAGAACTTGTTTCGTTTTGCTAGTGATTTCATAATTTATAGTGACTGATCTTTGTAAACATCTTTGTATACCATTGATTTTATTTGTGCATAATTTGTATCTTAATTGTGAGTTTTATTATTATGAAGGACCAAAAAATATGGAGATTGAATACACAACCATAAAGTGTCATTTCCAAAAAAATCACACTGTTCAAAGTATATAGTTTACACAAATCTCATACAATATTTCCTGCATTCCAAATTTATGACGACACACTCGACCTCGGATGGGTCGAACCTTGGATAAGTCGAATACTTTGGTTCGATCCCTTCGACTTCAACATAACAAGGTTCGATTGTACATTACAAGGATTTCTGAAATTTGGTTTCAGGGTGCTGCGTTTTCAGATTCATCACTCAACAACTTCCTGTTTACCTTATGCTTTCAGCGGGGCAGGGGTATCATTAGTGAGCAGAAGCTCACAGATTCACTTGTTAGTTATTATTTGAGGGATACTAATCTTTGTTTTTTATATTTTGGGAATAATTGAACCACATTTAGAAGTTTTCAATAAAATAAAATCCTAAAACAATGGAATTAAGTATCCCTGAAAAAACCAATATTTTTCAACCCAAAAATTTAAATGAATCTACAATGATAAAGCGAGTTTTTGTGAATGAGATGAAAATTTTTTGCAAGACTTTGAATATTGCAATAATTTCTGAATTAAATTCATGTTCCAGAATTTAAAGCAACCCCCCCACCAAGATAAATATTTGAACAGCCCTTACAGTATTCATATTTTAAGAATGATATTTTGAAGGTATTATTTAATATTAAAGTCCTTGAATATTGTTAAGCCACTCAGAGCATGATGTTTTTACAGTGCGCAAAGTAACAGAATTTGTAGAATTACAAAAGTATATAACTATAAAATGTTTTGCTGTGTTTATTATACAGATTTGCTTTTCAAGACAAATGTTTTGCAAGTTCATGTCTGAAAATCACTGAATGAAACATAGAGCTTAATAATGATTTTTATATGTGTTGATTTGAACAATTCTTGTGTTGATTTGTGTAATTCTTTGTTGATTTGCGTCATTTTTTAGGATTTTATTATTCTCTTTTTCAGGTATTAAGCAATATTCATGTAGTGAAAGTACATTCTGTAGATAAAGAAGAAAAGACCTGGTCATTTACTACAAAAGTAAGACAAATGTTAAGACTTTGCTTTTTACATTTTGCCCATGTACTGAAGATTCTGGAGTTTTTATTAGAAAATATGGTTGTAATATCAGGAGATGCATCATTAGAAGAACATAATATAAAAATAAGAAGACGTGGTATGATTGCCAATGAGACCACCAGAGACCAAATGACACAGACATTAACAACTATAGGTCAATGTACGGCCTTCAACAATGGGTAAAACCCATACAGCATAGTCAGCTATATAATACATTTATACCTCTAGATTGAACGCTAATGTGTATCTTGAATTAGAAAATAAGATGTGGGATAATTTTCAATAATACAAAGTGGAAATAAGGATGCATTAACTGCACCTTTGTAATTGCTTTATCATTTATCCTTAAAAAATGTCAGAGAAGATTCTGAAAATGAATAAAGTTTACACCAGGTAATACTATAAAAGATAGAACAAATGTTTGATTTATTATTTTTATTATTTAAATCAGAAATGGTGATAAATTAATCTGTACATTATTTTTAACATATTTAAAGTAATTTTAACACATTTATTTGTATATGAAGTTAATAATATGACAGTATTATGGTCAATTTAAAACTTAATGAACCCAGATACTTTAGAATCTACTCTCAGCTCTTTCAGGGCAGTGGGTAAAGTCTTCAGTGATGAGTGAGGCAAGTCCAAGATCTTCCCAAATTCAGGTATATGTTTAACTGGAATCATCCAGTTGACATATTCAGCTGCTCTACAATGGATACATTAATGTTTGAAAACCTAGTCAATATCATTCGAAATTAGCTTGGGATTTACCTATCTCAATAACATTAAGCTATCAGCTGACTGGCTCTCGTACAGAAAGCACCAATTAAAATCCTCGATTCGTGACACTTTTTCTATCGTATAAAGAGTTCAGGCTTTCATGTTTTGTATACCTTATATAAATTAATATATTAACGCACATGGTTGTATTTAACAGATATCTGATGTAATGGATCCTTTACAACATGCTGAAATATTTGTCAGAACCAATCAGCTTCCAGAAAAAATAGGTCAGTAGGTCCTAGATCATTAGTCAAAGGTTCCAACTGGAAAAAAAGACCTGAAACCTGAATAAATCCACCATTCATTTTCAAAGTTCTTGTTCCAAACACTTTTTATTACTGTAATTGCAGAAACTATTGCAATGTTTTTATTGTTGTGAAAAATGGAACGTGGAAAGGTTTTGCCAAAAAAAAAACCTCACATTTTAAATTTTGTTGCATTATTTGTATGTAGCTTTTCCTGAAATTGCAATAATTAATCTGGCATTTTTGTCAATTGTTCAACAGTCTCAATATTTAGTACACTAAAAAAATTCTCAATTTACCGTATCAGTATCTTTTTCTTTTATCAATTGAAATGCTTTATGTTTATGTTTTTTCAATGGACTCTGACTTTATCTTTTAAGTTTGTTTCAACAATTTGAGCACATCCAGCATCTTTGTGGATCTTGGATTCCAATCTTAAAAACTGTAGAAAAGATCACACTCATCTTGAATAAAGTTGCATTTCATTGTATAAGAATGTAAAAATGCAAGGTTATCTTCTAGAAAACTCTTCTAAACAGAATTTAAATTTGAAAATACTTTTTTTAATTGAGGTAATTCACCTTTTCTGAATGGAAAGAGCAAGGGTGATTTCAATCGTTAATGGAATTTTTGAATAATCAAGAAGTTTGGTGTAAGCATTTGGAAACTTTAATTCCAATGCTTTAGATCTGAAAAAGGAAATAATATGAAGCTGAAGCCCGCCTCCAGGTGCGGGATTTTCTCGCTGTGTTGAAGACCCATTGGTGGCCTTCGGCTGTTTTCTATTCTTTGGTCGGGTTGTTGTCTCTTTGACACATTCCCCATTTCCATTCTCAATTTTATTATAAGCAGTTTTAATATTCTAATTAGAATTATGAAAAATTGTTCTTTCTTTTGGCAGGAATATTATTTGAACTGGGCTTTACATTTGTAAGAAATGTAAGTATTCTTTATCAATATTTTAAAATTCCTCATTTAATATAAATATCCTGATGAGAATTTACCAATTGCAAGAAAGTGTGTAGATACATGTACATATATTGATTTTTTTTAATGTACGTGTAACAGTTTCCATTTTAAGTACAAGTTAGTATTTTTAGATGAAAAAGCACGATAGTGTTCAAGACTTTTAGATTTTTATCTCACCATATATATTTTATATAAGTCCAAATGATCACTACATAGCAACTTAGCGTCTGAATTTATCATATTTTCCCCCATACTTTTAGTGATTAAATTATTTTAGTTCATAAAATTTTACATTCAATATTAAAATGAATCCAGTGTGTGGTTGTTGCAACATCTGATTATAATATTTTTTTTTTTAAATCCAATAGAAGAGTTATCTACACTTAGCATTGCAAAATATATTCTGATATTAGATATTTAATTGCTATTACTTTAAAAATACACATAGCTTTTTTTTACTACAATAACTCATTCCTACTCAAATTGAAACAGTTAGTAGGTATTTATCATTTATATTATAAATGTTGTTCCACAAAATGAGTTTAAAAGTACAGTATATGTTTTATAGGCACTAATTGCATATATTTATAAATGTACTTATAAAGTTTTTAAACAAGTCAGCTTGATGCTGCTTTCTGGCTCGGCTATGATAATACATGTATATAATATAACATGCTACCTTGATAATAACAGTCAGCGGAAACCGAATCTAAAGTGAGTATTGATAATAAATGAACTATAGCAAAAATAGTACTTCAGTAGATCAAGTATGAACAAGATGTTCTAATTATTTAATATATGTTTGTAGGTTTGATTATCTTTAAAGAAATGCAAAATATTTGGCAAATTTTTTTATTAAGAAGCACCGTCTTTATATATTTTACCATTTTAAATTGTTTGATTTGATGAATGTTCTGAAATAACTGCAGTGTTAAGATTTGTGGGATATTAAAGTATTTGACTTGGAGGAATATTGTGACTGCTTTGAACATTATTAATAGTTACTTAGCAACGAATGGTGGGTTTCCTACATTTCACCTTGATTTAAAATTATTGCTTGTTTTGTAAAATCCACATACACAATGCTAAGAACCAAATTTAGCAGACAGAGTTCAAATTTGAGCAGTGAGTCACTTACCGTTCTGCCAATTTTTTAACTTGCAAAATTGCAAAGCTTGAGCAGGGTCATTTGTGTCATCCGACACATTTTTCTTTTTTTTTTGGTAAATTTTTTGTGTTAATTGAGGTTTCTCCTTAGGGGTCCTATAGAAATTATAACTTTGACGACCCAAAATTCAATACTGCAGTTATTGTTTTAGTGAGCTTTCACATTTTGAAAGTCATATTAGTCGGGAAAATGTTAAAAAAAGATTTATTAAAAAATAACATAATGCATTTATTCCATATGTATAATCAGATATAGTTTTTGCAATAGTTCAAATCACAGTATCACTAACCTTATTGTTATGGCAACACTAAACTGATTTTCATTCACCTCCACCAAATTATTGTCTCCCTTTGCTTGTAAACATGGCTGCCTAATTTAGTATATTATTTTAACATTGAAGATGACAACATCAAGAAAGGTAGTAGTAGTTGTTTTGTTGTTGAAGATTGCGATTGTGTGATGCACAAGATCAACTGGATATGAATGTGGCATTTTACACATATCATCTATTCCTTTGAAAATTTATTCACAAATGTTATTTCCCTTTGAACACCGTGATTGCACATGATGAATCGATTATGAATGTGGCATTTTACACTTGTATATCATCCCTTGAATTTTAATTCACATAAGTTATTTCCCTTTGAACACTGTGATTGCACAAATATTGTACCTCTTGAAAATTTACAAAAGTAATATATATCCCTTTGAAAACATATATTGTATTTTGTATTCCCTTTAAAGTGGTCGCATTATGAATTAATTGATATATTGCATATTGTACCTGCCTCGTAATTACACAAAAGTGATATCCGTTAACCTTTTAAACAAAAGAAATATATATCCCACTGAGCACAGTGGTCAAGTAACTTCTATCCTTGAAATTCAATTTACAAAATTATAAATCTAGATTTATTTGATTTAGTATTCCCTTTAAATTTAATTCACGAAAATGGTAAGTCCTTTTGAACACATTGCTATAATTATTCTTGTATTTCCTTCAAATGCAATATGCAAACTTGGCCATAGTTCTCTGAACTCCTTGAAATCATTTTTTATTTATCCCCTTGGAATTTGAATTAAATAAAAAGATTCTTTCTAAAACTTTATATTATCAAAGTATGTATCCATTTGAAATTTTTTTCTTAAAAGTTATCTCCCTTTGAACATCAATATCAATTGTCTGGCTGCTTGATAATTGATCTCAATTAAAATGGAATTTACATAAGTTATTTCCCTTTGAACAGAGTCAAAACAAATTAGAATTTCATTTGAAAAAAAATAATCTTCCCATGAATCCATTACATGAAAATTTTAATTATCTGTGACTGAAACAAATGATATGAGGAAAAAAGTACAAATCATAATCCTATTTATGCTAAAATTATATATTGCTTACTTAACATTATACCTGCTGCATGTCAAAATTCAATAAGTGATTTGTTTACAGTTTTAGCATTGCTAGGCAACAGCTATATTAGAGATATAACTGTAATTTAAAAAGATCATATTATTCAAATTATAACATATCAGAGTGAAATAAATGACTATAGTTTCCCCAGACCCTTGTGATTGAATTGTAGCACATGCATTAAATCATGTGGAAAAAGTTCATCAAAAGTTCATTTTCTGATACTGTAGATTTATTTAATTTTTGTGGGTACAAATTTTCATAGATTGAGGAAAAAAAGTATTTTAGTGGATATTTGATTTCATGGTTTTGCCAAAGTCTGCTTTCAAGCTGACTGATAGAAAATGTATAAATCGTTGAATATTCTAATTTGTGGTTCATCTATATCAACAAAATTAATGAAGATTGGTACCCTTCAAATAATTATTCATCCACAGTAAAAGATATTTTTCTGTATTAAAATGTAAGATGATATTCATTGGGTCTATGGCTTATGATAGGACAAAGATTGTATGTACCCTTTGTGTTTGCGCCCATTGTGACATTTTTGTGTGTTGAAATTTAAGGTTTTTAACTAATGTAGTTGCTTATTAAATTATTTTGCAGTTTAGTAATGTATTGGTTACGATATTAAGGTGAAGATAAACATTGTTTATAACTGATCTGATTAAAATACATATCCTGTGTCCTCTTCTTTGCTAAATGCTTTGTTTTACTTCCTGCTATTAACACTTGAGGATACTTGTTATAATATAAACCTTTAAAAGTTTGAGGGAAAAATTTCATTGGTTGACCTAATAGTTTTTAGAACAGAAAGTAGAAGATGCCAGATCCTTGTAAGCCAGGTGGGGACACAGGATCTGTATTTAAATAAGATTGTGTTTAGACCTTGATTGAAAGTGTTAGCCACTCATCTTATGTTAAGGATGTTCGCTACTCAGTTTCAAAATAAGAAGCTTTTTAGGGAGCTACAATTTGATTTTTATGGGGGGGCTAGGATGAAAAATTTTGTCCTGCATTTTTTTTTTAGTTGTAATCTCTGTCCTGCCTTTTTATTTTTCACTCTATTCGGTCCTGCCTTTTTTTTTATTAGTTTATCCTGACTTTTTTTGACATAAATTGACATCCTGCCTTTTTTTTTTTGCCAAGTTGCTCATCCTGCCTTTTTTTTTACTCAAAACTCCTGTCCTGCCTTTTTTTTCAAATTTCATCCTAGCCCCCCCCATAAAAATCAAATGGTAGCTCCCTTAAAAGGCTGTTCTAAAATGATAGAATATAAATAAAGGAACTAAAAAAGCAGAAAAAAATGAAGGGTTTGCATGCTTGTTTTCGAGATATAAGCCATTTAAAAGGCGGGAAATGATTCTCTCTAGATTTTCCCTTCTTTTAACATTGGCCGCTTTTTTGTTTCTAAAACTATGAAAAAATAACAAGGATTTTATAAGATTTTCAAAAATGGCTGTTAAAACTATATGTAATAAAATTATGAAAAGAAAAGTAGGGGTTAGTGGGCAAAATTTTTTTAATAGCAATACATGGATAAAACCAGAGGATTTCGAAAATCTGGCTAAAATTCAAAAACAAGAGGAGCAAACATCCGTAAGCCAGCAACAATCAATCATCTATTGATCAATAGTTTTACAAGCTTCTCTCCATAGATTGTCAAGGTAGCCATTTTTGAAAAAAAGAAGATAATTGTTGAAATTGTTGACCTTGCTAGGGTCATATGACATGATTCAGGTTAATTATTTAAGATTTACCAGAACTTTTTTTATATTGACTACTGTGGATTCATTTATTTTCATGGGTCAACCATTTTTGTGGATTGAGGAAACATTGTACTTTTATGGATATTTGATTTCCTGGTTTTGCCAAAGTCTGCATACAAGCCTATAGAAAATGTGTACTTCGTTTAACATTTAGATTTGTGGTTTACCTTTACTCACGGAATCCACGAAAATTGGTAACCCACGAGTAATGATGAATCCACACTATATTAATATGTACAATGGATTCTTAATTATTTGTGTCGTTCTAATTTTTGTGGATTTTGTGGGTTTAGGTTTAATCAGAATTTTAATGTTTCATAAAATACATATAGGCTTTTGTGTAGAATTTGTCAACCCATGATAATTGGTACACAAATAAATAAATTAATCCACATTATCAAGATTTTTTAAACAGCTCATGTTACATTCTGATGTAATTGACTACTTGGAAGAAAATGGATTTACAAATGTTTGGTTTTATTGTAGATATTTTGAGCTGAAGGAGAAATTGTTAAGTTTACAATATATATATATCATTGTATATAGCGATAGACACCTGGAGAGATGCACGCTTGATGAAGCTAGTTTGTCTAGCAAAATATTGCGTTTAATTTTTATCGTATTGTAAATATTTTTAACACTTTAATATTTACAATTACATGCTAAATAGTGTGTTAAAATTACATTGTTAGGCAATTTATCATTATATATAGCTATATATGAAATAAAAGGGTTTTTTTTTATCTTGGTTACACCTAGTAATTATCTATAACATTCTGAAAACCCTAATTTTTGCCTATTTTTCAGAGCACTGAAGAGCCTGGAGAGTGTAGTTGTGGGTGGGTTTTGCTCGATCTGTATGAACCCACCACCGGTGGTCTGATAATGAACAAGTAAGTCTGGGGATAATTGTTGGAAAATGGGATCTGTATGAACCCAACGGTGGTCCTATAATGAACAAGTAAGTCAGGGATAATTGTTGAATAATAAAAGCATAGAAAGAAAGGGGACAGGAAAGACGGGGGAACGTCAAAGGTATTGTTCAGAGCAAGATAGGATAGAAAAGTGGAGGGTATTTTTAGAGCAGAGAGGGGATAGGAAAGGGGAGGATAATTTCAGATCAGAGAAGGATAGGAAAGGGGAGGGTATTTTTAGAGCATAGAGGGGAGAAAAAAGGGCAGGATATTTTCAGAGCAGAGGGGGGATAATAAAAGGGAGGCATTTTCAGTGCAGAGAGGGGATAGGAAAGTGGAGGGTATCATTTTGTGTTTATTCTTGTCGCAAATTCCACAGGAACAGTCCAACAATTTATTTTTGAAGAAGTTCCCCGATTTATTACTTTACTATTTTTGCTATGCCCTTTATGAAAAGTATTATTCTCATTCCTTACCTAAATGACAAAGCCATGTGCATCACAGCTATTAAACATCTGTTACAGGACTTTTGATCTTTATGTAAATGGAGGAACACCATATGAGAAGAATGTAGAAGTTGATCCTGCCATTAGTCGTAGAAGTAAGTAACACAGTATATTTTGAAGTTTTTTGATTTGTGCATTTTTCACCATACTATTATTTGGCATGGCAAACTAATCTATGTCTTTTTGTCTCCGGTGGATAATTGTCTCATTGGCAATCATACCACATCTTATTATTATTATATTCATAACTTGCTTGGAATATGATATTTACTACAAATATCCTTAATTTCTTGTTTTTAAAAGTTATTGCCTATTGAATGGTTTTATAAGAGTTATCTTTCTTTTGAACATGATCTCAAAGTATATTCAAAGTATTTTCCTCCCAATTTATTTCTAAAAACAAATGATTTCTATAAATAGAAAATTATATAGTTATTTTATGCTACAGTAAAATTATTGGTATCAGCTTTAAGATTTTGGGCTTGAGTAAATTTTTGATATAACTGCAATACAAGTTGCCTGATTGGAGAATCTCTTTAAAAAGGTTTTAGCATAGAACAACACAGGAAAGGTTAAAAAAATAAAATTCTGAATTTTCAGTAATTGTTTATTTATTTATTTTTGCAGCATGTAAGTAGAGTGTAAATGCACATGTGTTGCAAGTGTGTAGATGTGTTGCAAGTGTGTAACTCTATATGTGTAGTACATTAATCACATTGTTCAAATATTTATAATTTTGTCCCATTGTCTAGAAAATAAGTTCAACAGTTATGTGTATTTCTAAAGCAAATTTAAAGATCTACATACAGTTGATTCATTAATGTTCACAGGATACTCATTGATATCTTGTGTTAGGATAAACAGCATTGTGTGTAAAATGAAAAAAGAAAATAAAAAACAAGTATTTGCATCACTGCTGTCACTGTTTGTGGTGTTATCTGTCTTAATGTTTGTCATTTATAAATAATGAACCTATCAGTTTTTGTTGATATGATTGTTTACATTTGTATGCATGTAATTCAGTGAAAAACAATTTTAAGCTGATAAAGTTATCTTCATTTTCTACATACAAAAATGTCTGTACCAAGTCAGGAATATTACCGTTGCTTTTTTCATTCGTTTGGTGTGTTTGAGCTTTTGATTTTTCCATTGGATAAAGGACTTTCCGTTTTGAATTTTCCTTGGAGTTCTGTTATTTTACTTTTTCCTTATCTGCTCATAATTTGGACCAAATTTAGTATGTCATCCTTGTATAATTATACAAGCACCTTATTTTTTATTATTCCAGATCAGTATTCAATAAAATATATATAATGGTTCAGATAATTTTATATTTATGTTCAAGTTATAAGAGGGTCTGGATGAGGGTCCTTCATTTCTGTATTCTTTAATTTTTCATGTCATTTTTCTCTTTTATTTTTATATTTTGTCCATTATTCTCTATTTATTTTTTATGCCCTCTTTTTCTCGTCTTTTTTTCCCCTATTTTTCTCTTTTCTCTATTTTTTGGTCCATTTTTCTGTAGATATGGCCCATTATTCTCTATTCTATAAACCCTATCCAGACCCTCTTATAATATCTTATAGTATTTATACACAAATGCATTGTGATAGTTATTGGTACTTGCACTAAATGTTTCAGAGATGAATTGAAACAGATTTTTATATGTACCTATGTATATATATTATTTTTCAGCTACATCTAATGCCTTCATGTCGCTTATTTCTGGTAATAAACAACCAAGACTGAATATCAAGGTGCATGTTCCTAAAAGGGAACTGAAAGAACAGTTAGAGTAAGTTTCTTCATGATAAAGAGATAGAATATTGAGCAGTATTTTTTTCTTCCATACATTAGTGATTTCTTGAGTAGTAATTTTTTCAGCTTTTTGTCTGTTCATTAAATCAAAAATTGTATTTTGCCTTTTTTTTTTTAGCAAGTGTTTGTAGTAAAAAAATTACAAGATTACACCATTGCTTCCACAATAGTCAGATTTTTTTTTATTTTTTACAGTTTACTGCCAGATGTTCTGATAGGAAACTCAGCTTTGATTAACATGTATTCATACTATCGTCAGATCTTAGCAGACACATTACTGAAAGATAGAGTGGACTTGGAATCTACAGGTTAGTTGTTTTTATGCCCCACCTACGATACATGTTTAAAGTAGAATCATATTTTCTCCTTAACAACATAAACAGTCGTGAGTGAAAAGTATTCTGAAAAGTGTTTATAAATGAACTCAAGCTTAAGAGTCTGTTTTATTGTTTTGTAGAGTTGATACACAGTCCGTTCCTTGCTACATTCCCTGCAGCAGCAGATCAGATGGATTTAATGAAGATATTTAGAGTGAGTTTACACACTTAAGTTTACATATGACATTGAGATGAAATTTGTTAAAATGTGTCCAACTGTAATATATTTATAATGAGAAAACATTTGATATTGAGACCAGAAAAAAATCAAAAATAAAAGAGACCTAAAAAGATACATTATACTCCAAAATTATGAAGAAGTGGACAGCTGAACAAAAAAATGACTATATTAAAAATTTAATTAGTTATGAGCTAGTGTTTACATGGCCAACAGTCTACATTACATATAAGAAAAGTGTTATTTAGGTTTTGAAGTAATTGATTGTTCATGGTTTATTGTGATGACTGCATGAGTTATTTCCCTTTTGGCATGTGACCTTGCATTGCTGGAAAGCAGACCAGTCGGTACACTAGTCTACATAAAAAATTATTCTGAAGTTTAAAAATCGTATGTTCTTCATTTCTTCACTAGTATAACAAAAATTAAATAGCATTAAGAATTTTGTCATAATGTTTCTGCAAATGTATTTCAAAGTATTTTAACATGTTGTTCAGTCCTGACTTGGTTCATGGTTTAAGTGCCAGTCTTTGTAAGAACCGGGCAATTTAGAAAAAATTCAAAACATGATTCTTAGGCAGATTGGCACTTAATTGGCTCATTTGAACAATTTCTATGGTTTAAAAACAAAGGAACTTAACTGTATTGTTCTTTGTACACATCCTACTGAAAAATTACGGTGAAAACAGAAAATGTATCATGCAACTATTATTTTGACTGTTGTACAATTGACAAAAATGCTAGATTAATCATTAAAATTTCATGAAATGCTGCATACAATTAATGCTATAAAAATTCAAAATTGGAGTTTTTATTGTTGCAATAATTATCCCATCACAACTTTCCCTGTAATGAAAACATGGCAAAAAATTCAAAATTAACATTATATATATGCTGTAGGAAATGTCAACATTTATTATGATTCTGTTTACAGGAAGCATGGATTGAGAGAACAAAGATCATTAGGGCACCAGAAAAGGTAAAAGAAACAATAGATTTAGTGCACTATTTTAGTTTAGTATCTGCAGTAAAATTTAAATGGATGTATTCCTTAGATATGTATACTGAGTAAAAATAACAACAAATAATTATAATTTCATTATTCAAAAATCAAGTATACTTCTATAAGTTACAATAAATCCATTATTGTAACAAAGAAAATAAAACTATAAGGTTTCAATTTTTACTTAATACAAACTAGATTATTTATTAAATTTATTTCAACAATTTTGGTAATTTTTTATTTAAAGTTTTTTTAAGAATATATGTTGTTTAACTTTTTTTACTCAGTATATTTGTTAGTAAGTTTATCAAATGAATATAGGCTAGAGGGATGGGGTAAGATACTTTGTATAATACATGACCCTACTTTAGGCTTTTAATGATATTTTTTCTTTAAATAATAGGAATGTGAGATATTTTAGGGATATTTGATGTGCAATTTTGGAGTTTTGGGGTTCCCAATAAAGCTGAAACATTTTGCGGAGAAGTATATCCGTATTAAACTTTGGTAGTTTTGCTCCTTTAAAAGTGATGATAGTGCTATTAAATGTCAATTAACTATTAGTTTTACTATTTTTTCTCTCTCTCTGTCTGTCCATCCCATTTTTCTTAGAAACTACAAATAAGAGTACCTGAAATTCGGTATCAGTCTTCATTTAAGCATGCTTCACTGTGTGATGTGTTTTCAGAATCAGCGGCAATCAACTTCCTGTTTACGGAATGTTAAGATATATCACTCTACATAATGGCAGTGTATATAATTTTCATCTCGTTTTCTAGGGAACTACAAATTAAAGCTTCCCAAATTTGAAATTAGGCTTCATGTGAATATGCTTTACTGTGTGAAGCTTTTCAAATTCATGTTTACTGAATACTTAAAATATATATTCCTACACATAATAACCATTTATGAAATTTTTGTAGAGAAATACAAATTAAATCTTCCTGAAATTTGTTATCAGTCTTCATGTGAACATTCTTTACTGTGGAAAGCTTTCAAAGTCCTGTTTACTGAATGCTTATAATATATATTCCTACACATAATGGCCATTTATGAAATTTTGTAGCATTTTTGTAGAGAAATACAAATAAGAGCTTCCTGAAATTTGTTATCTGGCTTCATGCGAGCATGCTATACCATGTGGTACATTTTTATATCCATTTCTATTCAACCTCTGGTTTACTGAATACTTAAAGTCAGGGTATCATGAGTGTGCAATAGCTCAAAGTTCTACTTGTTTTTTATTGTATTAATTAATATTATTAATTGAATATTTTTAAGGATTTGTGATTCGTTAAAACTTGATCACATGTACATTTGTATTTACTCAGTTTACACGCCAATACTGCTGTGTTTAGCTTTTCGTAGGTCAAAAACAGCATATTGCACATGGCATAAAGCATGTTACTAAAAATACATTCTAGAAATCCCCGATTGTTCATGCAATATTTGTTGATTATAATATAACAATTGTAGACTTTGGTTGAGGTCAATACGGTGTTATATCGTCCTCAGTCAATATGCTTCTCTTGGGTCTATATAACCTCGTATCAACCTCATACAAAGGTATATTGTGCCCTTAAATTCATATTGCATGATTCATTTGATACATGTCATATTATTACAGATTTAAATTACTTGCATGGTTTGCTTTAATATTTTTTTGTTATTTCAAAATCAATATTTCACAATATGTATTCTGTATTAATAAGTAGAGATAATCCCTCCTTGATAGTATTATATATACTTTTAATTTTGCCGATAGAAATATAGAGTTATGGGACTTGCCTCCTTGATATTGTTATGTTTACTTTTTATTTTGTTTGTTTGCTGTGGATTAATTCGTTTTCCTGGATACCAATTTTTGTGGATTGAGGAACAATTATATTATCGTGGATAATTGATATTAAGTCTGCATACAAGTATAAAGAAAATGTGATCTTCTTTGAACATTTGCATTTGAAGTTTATCTATAACCATGAAATCCACGAAAATTTCTATCCTTCGAATAATAATGATCTACAGTAAGTAAATATTGATGATACTTTTAACAGTATAAGTAAGGGGTTATGTCCCCTTGCTTTTGTAATAATGTAATATATATTTTTTTATTTTTGCATGTACAGCTTGTAAGTAGCTTGTGTGAATGCATGGTAATATCACATTGTTATGTTATTATTTACACATTCTAATGCAATATTTTGCTACATCAATTTTTATTGGACAATATCAACAAATTTTCTAAGTAAATTTGTCACATCAATTTTTATTGGACAATATCAACAAATTGCTTATCTATGGTTAATTCCATTGATTCTGCACCTGTTTGACTTCATTTTCAATGATGAGAAATAGTTATTTTTTCCATTTTTTCAAACTGCGATATTTTTATATTTGCTTATACCTGTTCCAATCTTTGATTTTATAGATGTAAATAACAGTATACTGGCTTCATTAATCTCAGTCTTCAATTTATATACAAAATCTATAATGATACCAGCAAATTATTGAAATACATTACAGGTATCTCCAAATTATTGTTCCAAGTTTTCACATCTAGTTTACATGTCTTACTTGAAAAGTGTTTTTTTGCAGTGTTCATTGTTTTTAAAAAAAGCGTTATGAAAATTGTGCAATTAATTTTGTTTTGATTTTCCTTTACAATTTGTTTACATTTGTTTATATGCTAGTTAGTTTTAAAGAAGGCCATGAAAAGCAAAATGTATACAATCATCAGTTTCTTTTTTCAGAGTTGTCAAAAAATACTGTTTGATTTAGATGTTAATGTTATTAGTGAGGTATATAGATTACAAACAGTGTACAAAATACTTTTCATGTTTGACCCAGATTGAAAACATTAATTTAAGTGGTTTAATGTGTCTTCATTCTACACAAATTGAGCGTTCATATTGCATTCATATTGCATTCATATCCATCCCACTTTATACCCATACTATCATGGATGTTGGGTTGATCATTACCAACGTGATTGTAATACAGACCCTGCGTCCCCCTTCACTGATAAGGATCTGACAATGCTGTGTTCTACTTTCTGTTCTGATAATTATTACATCCACCAATGAAATTTCTACCTCCATGTTTTTGAAGGTATGTATCAATATGACAAAACCTAAGTATCCGAAAAAGGTATTCCAAAGGGAAAGTAGAACAGAGCATTGTATTGTTAGTGATGCCTGGACACAAGATCTGTATTGGATCATTTGGTACATAAAGTTTTAACCAAATACAAAAGTTCTGAGTGCAACATGCAGAAACATCGTGATTTTTTATTTATATTCAACATATAAGTATGTGTATACTGTTTTTTGCTGGTTTTAGAGGATAGTGTTTGCAAGGGAGTTATCTGCTCTTGGCACAATTCTTTGATTATTACACCATAAAGTGTTGATGTGTTTGAATAGGAGAATTTGGCAGTTGGAAATGGACTTCGCAATTTGATAAAAATGTCCTGTCATCGAAATAGTTACAACCTTGTTTGTCTGTTCATCTGTAATGCTGGTTAAGGTTGTTTCTCAGAAACATATTATTCATAATTCAATAGACTTTTTTCATATAACATACTTATGACTCCTGATTATGTAATTTTTCAACAGGTTACCTTAAGTGTGGTTGGACATCCTGGTTCTCAGTCAAGTAAGAGCAACCAAAAGAAGTAAAATCAAACATATAATCTGTGCAATTTGGGGGAAAAGTTTACTGTTTTCCGATTAGTCACGTATAGAAAACATAAAATAGTTAATTTCCCCCAAAATTTTACTGATTGAAAGCTTGTTTTTACTTCTTCACATTGCTCTTGCTTGACCAGGTACCAGGATATCCTACCAAAGAGAAGGTAGCCTGTCGAAAAAATATAAACTCCGCAGTCAAAAGTTGGTAATATGAAAATAGTCTATTACTGATATTTAAAAAAAAAAAGTAAAAGGGACACTCTCCCTACAATTAAAATCAATCCTCTCATTACTTTTTGTATTTAGACTGGTAGCCTGTCCTTGGTTAAAAGTAATCGCAAGCCATTTTATTCCTCTGTTACCTTTAAATCATGATGGAAAACCTACCTTTTGAAAGATGATTATGTGTTAATATCTCGGTTTTTTGTTACATGAAGTTCGTTCCAACAACATTTTCAAATCATCTAAGGCAGAAGGTATGCACAAATGATGTGTCAGAAGTCATAGTGAAAACCTAACGACATCATGGGTAGAAAACTTTTTGAATGAGACTATCTAGATTACTGTAAATTCAGAAATGTTTGCCTTAATTTATTATTGCTATTTTTGAAGAATGGACAAAAATGGAAGATTAGTAAATGCTGCATACAAGTGCTATCAAAATGTTCTGAATTTGTAGTACTTAGTTTCTGGTGGTAGGAATCATATTAAGGATAAATGGAAGAAAAGCAATTTGGTTTTACAAGTAGATTCCACCCATTTGATAGGAAAAAGGTTGTAAAAACAATATGGGTTTGCACCTTTTTCCCTTTTTTAAGGGGTCATTAGAGTTAAGCTACATGTAATCGTTACAAAATATCTAAGAAGTAAAAAAGTATATTGTAGGATACTGTAAAACATTCTTGTTCCTACTGAAATTGCCTGTACCAAAATCAGAAACAAAAATTAGACTTTCAATATCAATATCTTCCATTGCATAAGTGAATGTTTTTATGTATTGTCCCAATTGTGTGAAAATGAAAAGAAAGAGCATGACATTTGACTAGCCAGTAAATTTTTATCTCTATATGCTTAAACACATTTTAGTGACACTACACCAACATTGAAATATCTAAAACTTGTAGCAACATTGCATGACATTGTCTCCCTCAAAAACTGAATCTTATGATTGATCCCCATTCTATTGATCACATGACATTGTCTCCCTCAAAAACTGAATCTTATGATTGATCCACATTCTATTGATCACATGACATTGTCTCCCTCAAAAACTGAATCTTGTGATTGATCCACATTCTATTGATCACATGACATTGTCTCCCTCAAAAACTGAATCTTGTGATTGATCCCCATTCTATTGATCACATGACATTGTCTCCCTCAAAAACTGAATCTTATGATTGATCCCCATTTTATTGATCACATGACATTGTCTCCCTCAAAAACTGAATCTTGTGATTGATCCACATTCTATTGATCACATGACATTGTCTCCCTCAAAAACTGAATCTTATGATTGATCCACATTCTATTGATCACATGACATTGTCTCCCTCAAAAACTGAATCTTATGATTGATCCACATTCTATTGATCACATGACATTGTCTCCCTCAAAATCTGAATCTTATGATTGCTCCACATTCTATTGATCACATACTGTCTTGAGCGGTTCTTAATACAGTTTTTTATACTTTAGAGTGCATTACCCCATCTCTCTCTATATACAATGCTATAATGTAAACTGTGGAATTACTTATTTTTTTTTGGTACCAATTTTTGTGAATTGATGAAACATTGTACTTTTGTTGATATATGATTTTGTTGATATTTGATTTTGTGGTTTTGCCACAGTCTGTATACAAGCCTATAGGAAATTTATAATTCGTTGAACATTTAAATTTGTGGTTAACTTAATATACCCATGAAATCCAGGAATATTGGGTACCCCAATCATAATAAAGAATCTGCAGTATGCAAAGACCCATACTGACAACGTAGTACTGAGGGTTTGTTTATTTTCATCGGTACCAAATTACATGGGTTGTAAATAAAAATGTATTTTCATGAATACTAAATTTTTGATGTTTGTTGAATTGTTAAATCCATAGTTCATGTTTCACCCAGAATATCAACTTAAATTAGTACCCCACGAAAAGTTTGGATCCACAGACTAGTTTCAGCATTTCCTGCCATCACACATGGTATACCTGAATTTGTTTGAATTTTTTTATACACAGTCAAATCTGTATATAAAGGTCACCCTAGGGCCAGAGAAAAACTGACATTATAAGAGAAGTGACCTTTGAAAAATGGTTCATTATGCATTGGTATTACTACAGGTGGATAAGGATGACCTTTATAGCAGCTTGGACGTATTTTGTTATATTGTAGATATTGATACAACATATAAAAATGATATTTTTCCTTTATAAACATTAACATTTAGGTATACAAGATGTGCTGCAGAGAATTGTTTCTTGTCAATTTTTCCCTTTTTGATTATATACCATATATTATTCATTATCTTCACAGGGGATATAGGCTCATATAAACCTGTCAGTGTTTGATATCCCCTGCACCATTGAAGGGGATATAGGGAACTTACACGGAATATGAGCCCATACCCCTGGTTCAGTTCAAATAACAACCACATTATACTGGGTGCTTCTTGATATCAACATGTATTACCATTCTGATCTCTGTTTTGGTTCACTTGGTATATATATATATATGTCCTCATATTCCCTGTCAAGGTAACCAATCAAATTAGCTAATTAGAGGGGATATTACACTCCAGTATGATATATTACCTTACTTTCAGTTGTTGCCTTTAAGTTATTAAAAGCTTTAAAGACAATGTTTTATGCCAAGAATATCACAATTTGTAATTCATGAGAACTCATTTATTCTTTTGTAAATATGTTTTTGTAATATTTTGGGTATGCTATAGATATGTTCGAATGCATATATACAAGAATAGATGCTATTCCCTTTAAAGGTTCCTTCTTTTTTATAGCATTCATAGTAAATAAAGTATGGCAGGTGATGATCCACAAACTTTAAAAAAAGGGGGAGGGGGTGTCTCATGGATTCAGCCAAGAGAAGGGTATTTTGGTCTATTTTTGTGAATTTTTACATGATTGAAAAATATTTTCAAACAATATACTTATAAAATTTTATTTTGACAACTGTGATGCTGATTACAAGGTTATAAATAATTCATTGTTTTCTTTTAATGCTCCTCATTGCAACAGATCAGGACAGCTTCTCTAACAAGGAGCATAATTAATATCAAAATATAAATGAAAATTCATGAGAGGATGTATTAAAGATTTCCCTCCCCTTGATATCTGGATGAGCACATGCTTTATGTATAATCTTCCCTTTACTTTTTTAGAGAGACATAGAATACATGAAGACAGAGTTCGCATTGGTCTTCCAGAGTAGTGTGTATCCATTGTTTCATCTTTCTTCATTACCACCATGGTTACCGGGAGATTTAACTGTTGAGCAGGTAAACATTTATAAAAAGGACAAAAGATTTTTGTTCCATCTGTAGCTTTTTGACTCATTAACTCATTTATTTTCAAGAGATGATACTTATAGGAAAAATTCCTATGGTGCATTAATATAAAAGGTATATTTGTCCAATGTTACTAAGTTTTACTGATACTGTTCAGTATATACCATGTTTTTTTTTTTTACATATGATGCTTTTGTCTAGCAGTACATATTATGTAAAAAAAAAGTGATTGTAAAGAGATTAGCAATACTGTCTATCTGTGCAGCATATATTCTATTTCCTCATTTTGGTAGATAAGGAAAGTTTTTGTTTTTGTTTTTTGTTAGATTTTTTTTTGGGAGGGAAGGGGGGGGGGGTAATTTAAATGGCAAATGGTCATGGTAAAATTTACATACTGATGGGCAGCAAATTTTCTACTGATACTTCATACAATGTTCATTAAAATGTTAGACAGTAACTGTATGTAAATATTTTATTTATTCTGATGACAATTCATTGTTTCACCAGGCAGTGTGGGTTATATATTATATTTCTACAAAATAAATCTATATTCTTTAAAACAGAAAAGACAAGAAGAAATCGCCAAATATCAAAGACAGAAGTTAGAAAAAAAAAGCATATTGGCTATGCTGTTATCACCTGATGTGGAATATCAACCATTTGATATGAAGGAAGTGGCATTTAATGTGATTGGTCAATTTTGTCAGAATGATCCAATGACTGTAAGTAACTTAAATGTGATTGGTAAATTTTTGTCAGAATGATCTGTTGAATGTAGGTAAAGTTAAATGTTATTGGTCAATTTTGTCAGAATGATCCAATGACTGTAAGTAAACTTAAATGTGATTGGTAAATTTTTGTCAGAATGATCTGTTGAATGTAGGTAAAGTTAAATGTGATTGGTCAATTTTGTCAGAATAAACTGTTGACTACTAATAAAGTTAAATGTGATTGGTTAATTTGTTTAATGAATATAGAATAACAACATGAAGAATAAATGTAAGCATAAACATTGGACGTACATTTTTTGAAATACAAAATGAGATTCTTCATTCAGCCACTCTTTTTTATATTACTAATTTCAAAGAGACAACAACAAAACAGTACAAAACAATGAAAAAATTAACAACTGCATGTTACAATTTGGGTATATTTCAATGCACAGGCACTAAAACTAAAAAAGTCATGAGTTATGAGAAAGTTATAGCATATTAAACTGATTAAAAACATACTCAGTTCTGTGAACACTTCTACAGAAAGAAATGGGAACAAACTTTAACAACTGTGCTGATAGACAACCATTGGGTAGGGTTATTGTGAGTTTCTAATTTTATGTCAGAAATCTAAGTTTTGTATACTGATTTCAGATTGCAA